CCCGCTAGAAGAGCCGGTGGGCTCCAGGGTGGGGTGCGGACCGAGTGGGAGTCAGTATCAGCGGGCTGCGCTGGATTGATTGTTTTTGTTTATTTATTTCTTAATATTTATTTATTTATTTTTGAGAGGGAGTTTCGCTCTGTTGCCCACGCTGGAGTTCAGTGGCACCATCTTGGCTCACTGCAATTTCTGCATCCCCTGCTCAAGTGATTCTCCTGCCTCAGCCTCCGGCGTAGCTGAGATTACAGGCACCCACCACACACCCGGCTAGTCTTTGTGTTTTTAGTAGAGATGAGGTTTCACCATATTGGCTAGGCTGGTTTCGAACTCCTGACCTCTGGTGATCCGCCTGCCTCAGCCTCCCGCAGTGCTGCGATAACAGGCATGAGCCACCGTGCCTGGCCTGCGTTGATTGTTTTTAGTTTGAGCTGCACTCCTCCCTGTATCCTGCTTGTGCCAGGGCAGATCTCTGCTGGCTCTAGGCCTCAGTTTTCCCATCCTTGGAGTAAGAGGCCCTAGCATGTAGGAAGGTGTGTGAGCAGCTGGTGGTTGTGGGCAGTTCACCTCCATCTCCACCTTCTCACCTGGGAAACAGACTCGATGAGAATCAATGCAGAAAGCCAAGGGCTGGAAGAGTCAGGGGGTGTTCTTTTGACCCCTTCCCCAGTGCCTTCCACTCATGAGGTTTGGCCCCCGCTGTTGGGGTGAGGCCAGCGGGGAGCCCCAGCCTGAGGGTCAGCGGGCTGACCCTGGCAATGTGAGGAAGACCAGCTCTGCCAGCCGGGCTGTAGGGCTGGTGTGGGCACAGGCTTGGCCTCGCAGAGCCTCAGGGACTCCCCCTGTAAATGAGGTTGACATCCACATGCAGGTAGTTGCACCTAGCACTGCACAGGGCGGATGTGAGCACCAGGCTGCTACAAATACAGCTATGACTTTCACATGCTCAAGGTTAAACTCCCAGTCAATTTGCTGAGGTGAAACCCAGAGCTTCCTGGCCAAAGGATAATAATGGCTGGGGAGCCCGCACATGGGGACCTGCCTCCGACGAGATGGGGGTGGCTTTAGGGCATCCAAGAGGCATTTCAGGGAGAATCAAGGGACAGCCAGGTATCGTTAATGGTGGCCAGATCAGGGTCCAGTCTGGCAGGGTCTTGGATTCAAGGTTAAACCCAGTTCTAAATTTGGAACTTATCCCCAGGCTCGCCCCCAGGCTTTTACTATGTAGACATGTATTCCCACACACATCAGGTACAGTTTTGTATATTTCCAAACAATATATAGGCATAATAGTGTATGCGTCTTTCTTTCTTTTTTTTTTTTTTTTTTGAGACGGAGTCTCGCTCTGTCGCCCAGGTTGGAGTGTAGTGGTGCCACCTCTGCCCGCTGAAAACTCTGTCTCCCAGGTTCACACCGTTCTTCTGCCTCAGCCTCCTGAGTAGCTGGGACTACAGGCTCCCACCACGACGCCCGGCTTTTTTTTTGTATTTTTAGTAGAGACAGGGTTTCACCGTGTTAGCCAGGATGGTCTCGATCTCCTGACCTCGTGATCCGCTCGCCTTGGTCTCCCAAAGTGCTGGGATTACAGGCGTGGGCCACTGTGCCTGGCGCGTATGCGTCTTTCTGCAACTTTGTTCATGCAGCGTTGTGATTCATACATGTTGATATCGTTCGTCTAGTCTAGTCCACTGATTTTCACTGATGAGTGGTATTCTATCATATTCCACAGCTTATTTCCCCTTTTTTCGGAGGATTGACATTTGGGCTGTTTCCAGTTTTCCTATAGTACAAACGATGCTGCATTTGTGAACAGTTCTTGAACGTGGGATTAAGAGTTTCTCCAAGGTAAACCTAGGAGTGGAATTGCTGGGTGGGAGACGTAGGTGAATCAACTTCCTTGATCTGCCCAAATTGCACTGATTTACATTTTCCCTCCCTCTCTCCCTCCCTCTCTCTCTCTCTTTTCTTTGTTTTTTTTTGAGATAGTGTCTTATTCTGTCACTCAGGCTGGAGTGCAGTGGTGTGAACATGGCTCACTGCAGCCTTGACCTCCTGGACTCAAGCCATTTTTCCCACCTCAGCCTCCTAAGTAACTGGGACCACAGCTGTGTGGTGTGCCACTGTGCCCAGATAATTTTTAAAAATAAATTATAGAGATAGGGTCTCACCACATTGCGCAGGCTGGTCTGAAACTTCAGCCTCAAATGATCCTCCTATTTTGGCCTCCTAAAGTGCTGGGATTACAGGCATGAGCCACCACACCTGGTTCCAACTGACATTTTCATCAATAGTACATGCGTGTTCCAGCTGATCGCCAGCACCACTTGGTATTGCCAGAATTAAGCTGTTACTCTGTTGAGTGGGAACCAGTATGCTGATGTGGATTTAATTTGCATCTCCTGATTACTAATGCAGCTATCTTTTAATTAGTTTTTTGGTCACTTCAGTTTCTCTTCTGTAAATTCCCTGTTCACATCTTTTTTTTTTTTTTTTTTTTTTTTTTTTTTTTTTTTGAGACAGAGTCTCACTCTGTAGCCCAGTGGCACAATCTCGGCTCACTGCAACCTCCGCCTCCTGGGCTCAAGTGATCCTCATGCCTCAGCCTCCCGAGTAGTTGGGACTACAGGCTAAGCCACCATGCCAAGCTAATTTTTTGTATTTTTTTGGTAGAGATGGGGCTTAATTTTTTGTATTTTTTGGTAGAGATGGGGTTTAATTTTTTGCATTTTTTGGTAGAGATGGGGTTTAATTTTTTGTATTTTTTGGTAAAGATGGGGTTTAATTTTTTGTATTTTTGGTAGAGACAGGGTTTTACCATGTTGCCCAGGCTGGTCTCGAACTCCTGAGCTCAAGCGATCCGCCCCACCTTGGCCTCCCAAAGTGCTGGGATTATAGGCATGAGCCACTGCGCCACGCCTGTTTGCCCATTTTCTTTTCCTTATTGGTATGTGGGTATTCTATATACATTCTGAATACTAATACTTTGTTGGTCATATGTTGTAGATACCTTCTACTTGGTGGCTTTAGGTTTCACCTTTTAAAATATATATATATATTTTATTTATATATTTATATGTTTTAAAATATATAAATATATATATAAATATATATTTTAAAATATATAAATATATAAATATATATTTAAAAATATATATATTTTAAAATATATATTTTTATATATATTTATATATTTTAAAATATATATAATTTAAAATATTTATATATTTTAAAATATATATATTTTTTAAATTGAGATGTGGTCTCACCACATTGCCAGGGCTGGTCTTGAACTCTTGAACTCAAGTGGTCCTCCCACTTTGGCCTCCCAAAGTGCTAGGACTACAGGCTGGAGCCACCGCACCTGGCCAGGTTTCACCTTTTCATGGCGTCTTTTGTTCATTTGAGACAGGGTCTTGCTCTGTTGCCCCGGTTGGAGTGCAGTGGTGTGATCACCAATTACTGCAGCCTCCCAAAGTACTTGGATTACAGGCATAAACCACTGTGCCCGGTCCATTAATGGTATTTTTTGACACACAGATTTTTAATTTTAATGAAGTTAAATCCTCATAAGAAATCTGCATGGTTTATCCTTGTTTATCCTGAGGTTATAAAAGTATTATATATTTTCTTTTTTTTTTTTTTTTTTGAGATGGAGTTTCACTCTGTCGTCCAGGCTGGAGTGCAGTGCCATGATCTTGGCTCACTGCAACCTCTGTCTCCTGGGTTCAAGTGACTCTCCTGCCTCAGCCTCCTGAGTAGCTGGGACTACAGGCGTGTGCCACCACACCCAGCTAATTTTTGTATTTTTAGTAGAGATGGGGTTTCGTCATGTTGACCAGGCTGGTCTGGAACTCCTGACCTCAGATGATCCACCCACCTTGGCCTCCCAAAGTGCTGGGATTACAGGTATGAGCCACCAGGCCCAGCCTCCTAATTTTTTTTTTTTTTAATAGAATCTTGCTCTATCACTCAGACTTGAGGGCAGTGGCACAATAATGGGTCACTGCAACCTCAACCTCCCTCACTGCAATCCTACTACCTCAGCCTCTGAAGTAGCTGTGACCACAGGTGTGCGCTATCACACCCAGCTATTATTATTATTTTTTTTTGAGATGGAATCTCGCACTGTGGCTGAGCTGCAGTGCAGTGGTGCGATCTTGGCTCACTGCAACCTCCGCCTCTGGGGTTCAAATGGTTCTCCTGCCTCAGTCTCCCAAGTAGCTAGGATTACAGGCGCCCACCACCATGCCCACCTAATTTTTTGTATTTTTAGTAGAGATGGGGTTTTACTGTGTTGGCCAGGCTGGTCTCAAACTCCTGACCTCGTGATCCGCCCGCCTCAGCCTCCCAAAGTGTTGGGATTACAGGCGTGAGCCGCCTCGCCAGGCCTTTACTTTTTTTTTTTTTTTTTTAATAGAGATGAGGGTCTGCCCGTGTTGCCCAGGCTCATCTTGAACTCAGGGGCTCAAAGTGATCCACCTACCTCAGCCTCCCAAAGTGCTGGGATTACGGGTGGGAGCTACTGCATCCAGCCTAAAATGTTTAAAGTTAGGTTTTTGCATTAGGTTTGTGTGCACCTGGAATGACTTTTGTATATGAAGTGAGACAGAGGTCCAGTTTTCATTTTTCCCCATATAATCAATTGTCCTAGAGCCATTTATTAGCCCGTCACTTTCCGCTTTTTTTTTTTTTTTTTTGAGATGGGGTCTTGCTCTATCGCCCAGGCTGGAGTGCAGTGGCGCCATCTCGGCTCACTGCAAGCTCCGCCTTCTGGGTTCACGCCATTCTGCTGCCTCCGCCTCGTAGCTGGGACTACAGGCGCTTGCCGCCACGCCTGGCTAATTTTTTGTATTTTTAATAGAGATGGTGTTTCACCATATTAGCCAGGATGGTCTCGATCTCCTGACCTCGTGATCCGCCCGCCTTAGCCTCCCAAAGTGCTGGGATTACAGGCGTGAGCCACCGCACCCGGCCACTTCCCACTTATTTTTTAAGGGGGAAAAGGCAATGGTTGTTTTGAAAAAAATTAACCTATCTAAATAAAGTATCAGCAGTTGAAACTAACGATGTATATTACAACAGTATTATGACCAAGTTGCCTCTACCCCAAGAATTCAAGAATGGTTTACCATTAGAAAGTTTATTGATGTAACTGATCTCATTAACAGATTTAAAGAATACCCATATGATCATCTTAATAGATGCAGGAAAATCATGCAATAAAATACCTATTTATGATAACTGCTGATATGTTATTTGTGCTTTTCCTTAAAAATGCAGTGTTTTTAGGAATTAAAGTTCAGAGCAGCAAAAGTCAAACAAAAACCAAGTCTGAGCAATAGAGCTACTACAATGCCCATCACAGTCTTTGCTCAGATGACTACCTAAGGTCATGTTCAGCTCTATGTTTCTGTGACCACAAATAGCATCTTTGGCAAATCTGGTTTCAGTTGGTCTTTGTCCAGCTCCTGGATTCCATGCAGGGCCTGAGAAGCCCTCAAGGATAAGAGATTAATCCGGTCCAGTGGACTCCGTGGTTCCTCAACTCCAAGTGCCCCCACCATAGGTGGGACCTGCCTCTCTCGCAAAGGATCCCTGGCGGCAACCCGAGACCGGTTCAGACCGGTTCTCCTACCCGCATTCCGCCGAGTCTCTCGCTCTGCCCAGGACGCACAGATGAGAGCGCTCAGCAGACTGGTGGGTCTGTCTTTCGGTCCTTCCTAATTTCCCCCTCCTCTGGGGAAAGGTCAAGGATACCTGAACCAAAGTGTCTGGCGGGGTGTAGGTGGCGGGGGGGGTGCATCTGTGCACAATCAAGGGCTTGGCCCTCCCGAGAGCGCCCAGGGGCAGGGGCCTCCTAGGTTCTGGCGGCCGACAGGGGCGACCGGCGCAGGGGGTCGCGCAGGATTGCGGCTGAGGTCCCACCAGCGAGAGACAGAGACCCTCAGACATTTAGTCCAGAGACTGCAGCAAGGAAGGGGTACGAGGGGCCAGGGCCGGAATTTCGGGGGAGGGAGCGCAGCGACCAGAGTCGTTTGCTGGCACCTGTAGGGGCGAATGCAGGGGCTGGGCCGAGATGACCTTGGACCAGAGCTCCCTTCCGGCCTGCAGAGATGAGCTTGGGGTTTAGCTTAGTGAGGAGTGAGCAGCTTTTCAGCCGCAGTGCTGCGGCAGAGGCGGATGGAGGATGGAGGATGAACTGGAGCCGTCCTTACGACCTCGGACGCAGGTAAGCCCCCAGCGGTGGCGACCCCCCACCGCACGGTGGCGACAAACCCCGCGGCGGCAACCCCCTCCCCCCACCGCGGCGGCGACGCCTTCCCCCCCACGCGGCGGCGAGCTCCCCAGCACCGGCAGCAACTCTAACACGCTGCGGGTCCGCGCTTGCGCCTCAGGCGCCCTCCGCGACAGTCTAACGGCTCTGCCCTCCACTGCGCCTGCGCTTGAGTCTCAGGCCCCATTCCCGGCCACTGGTTAGCGTTGTGCGAACCTTCTGCTTGTGCGGCCGCTCTGAATACCCACTGCGCTTGCGCCACCGCTTCGTCTCGACTGGTTGGCGCCTCTCAAACGCTTACTGCGCGTGCGCTAGCCCCTCTTTCACAGCTGGGTACCGCGCGCTGACCTTCCCTCCGCGGGCATGCGTTCGGTTAACCGCTTGGTAATGGCAGCTGGGGTCTCCCTGGGACAGCAAGACCTCCGCTCAGGCCCCTCTTCCGAATGCTCCATGCCCTCCTGCGATCTGGAATGGTCTGAATTCTCATACCTGCCCAGACCAGGCATTTCAGATGAGGGATTGAGGACCTAAGTGAACTGCGCATGTGTAGCCACCTTGGAGGCTTAACTAAGTCGTCAAATGTTCAAAAACATCGTGCTTGTATGTACAGTGGCGTTAGGTGCTAGGCTCAGATGTCCATAGGCAGGTGTTTACGTCCAGGGTCGGCCTGTGGGCCAGAGCAAGGTTGCTGGACCCTGGCATCCCAGCCCCCAGAGATGCTAAATCCTCTGCCGATCAGCCCTGACCTCAGAGGCAGTGAGCCCTCCGAGCACGGCAGTCCTGACCGCTCACTCCTTCCCGTGACTGTTTCCCACCCTGGCCTCTTTCCTCCTCATGATGCCCTCAGCTCTGACCTGGCGTCCTGCCTCACAGAGGGAAAGGGCGCAGCCAGAGGAGAGCGCCTGCACTGCCCGCTTCTATGGGTTCCTCCCCAATCTGGACTGATTTCTTTATGTATTTGCATGGCACATTTCCTCACCTCCTTTGTCTTCATTTGCACTTGTATTCCTTGACAGCCCTATTTAAAATAGCACCAGCTGAGGTGGGAGGATCGCTGGAGCCCAGGAGTTTGAAGCTGCAGAGATCTAATAGGATCTCACCACTGCACTCCAGCGTGGGCGACCTAGGGAGACCTTGTCTGTAAGAAATAAAAATAAAATAGCACCACCTGGTCCTAACACTTCCTACGCCCCTTCCCTGCTTTAAGTCTCTGTAGCACCAGCTGATGTACTATATATTTTGCTCATTCATTTTGCGATTGCTTGTCTTTCCCTGCTCTGATAGCTCATTGATTTTGTCTGTCGTTCACTGCTGTATCCCAACACCCAGAACAGTAGGATTATTGACCATAATAGGGAGGCAGTAAATCTTTGTTTGCCTAATTAATGGTCCGTATCATAGCTAATGTCTGAATGCTTACCATGACCAGGCACGGTATAGGCAATCTCCATGCATGATCTCATTGAATTAAACAATTTCCTGTAGTCTTGGAGACCTGTCAACATCTGCTACATGAGTTCAGCTGCTATCAAGCACTGTGTTCGCTGCTTCCTTCAGATCTGCTGTCTTAAGGGAACTCTCACTTCCATGAAGCCCCCGTGGAGCTGTAATGTGGCCCCATTGGGACCAGACTCCAGGTTTCTCACCTGGCTTCTTCCTAAGGCTTCCAGCCTAAGAGAAAGTTACTTAGGCCTTATGGGAACTATGGGCAGCTAGGGCCCCTGTCACCAACCTGTCTCCAGACCTATGGCAAAGCCTTCAGCAGGATTCTGCCCTCCAGAGTCACTTCCTGTGCTCCCCCACCTTCCAGTGCAGTATCTCACTGAATGGTGAAAGCACAACTGGCTCTTTCCCAGCTATATCTTGCCCCCCCAGCACACTTCCTGGCTGAGATAAACACTCAGGTTTTTTTTTTTGTGATACAGTCTCACTCTATTGCCCAGGCAGGAGTGCAGTGGCGCAATCTGGGCTCACTGCAACCTCCGCCTCCCAGATTCAAGCAATTCTCCTGCCTCAGCCTTCCGAGTAGCTGGGATTACAGGTGCCTGCCACCACGCCTGGCTAATTTTTGTATTTTTAGTAGAGACGGGGTTTTACCATGTTGGCCAGGCTGGTCTTGAACTCCTGACCTCAAGTGATCTGCCCACCTCGGCCTCCCAAACTGCTGGGATTACAGGCGTGGGCCATCGCATCTGGCCAACACCCAGTATTTGACTAATGAATGAATAAATAGTCCATAGGTTCTCGAAACTTCAGAAAACCTTAGCCAAACATCCTTCTGTCGTGAAAATTGTATCAAAGTTTTCAAAAATAATACCTTTAATTTTACAGAACAATTTGCCAGAACAAGAAAGGCAGTAATTTTTGGGGGAAGATATCAACAATTCAATTTTTGTAAAGTCAACTACTTTGCAAATATCTAAAAAAATACCTGAGGGAAGGAGTTCATTGTTGTGCCTTTGGAGGAGTGGAGAACTTTCAGTATATACTGAATTTTCAAAAATCTTAACAAACGTGTCATTTTGTAATTAAAAATCACAAAAGAGTAGACCAGGTATGGTGGCTCACGCCTGTAATCCTAACACTTTGGGAGGCCAAGGCGAGTGGACCACTTGAGCTCAGGAGTTTGAAACCAGCCTGGGCAACAAGGTGAAACCCCGTCTCTACAAAAAAATACAAAAAAATTAGCCCAGCGTGATGGTGTATGCCTGTAGTCCCAGCTACTTGGGGGGCTGAGGTGGACGGATCGCTTGAGCCCAGGAGGTTGAGGCTGCAGTGAGCCAAGATCGCGACACTGCACTCCAACCTGGGTGGTAAAATGAGACCCTGTCTCAAAAAAACAAAACAAAAAATCACAAAAGGAGAAAGATAAACAATTTTGTGAATCCCTCAGAAGACCTCAACTATAGGTCAGGTGCAGTGCCTCATGTCTGTAATCTCAGCACTTTGGAGGCCGAGGTGGGCAGATCACTTGAGGTCAGGAGTCTCTACTAAAAATACAAAAATTAGCTGGGCATGATGGTGCATGCCTGCAATCCCAGCTACTCGGGAGGCTGAGGCGGGAGAATCACTTGAACTGGGAGGCCGAGATTGCAGTAAGCCGAGATTGCGCCTGGGCGGCAGAGCAAGACTCCGTCTCTCTTTTTTTCTTTTTTTTTTTTTGAGACGGAGTCTCACTCTGCGCCCATGCTGGAGTGCAGTGGTGTGATCTTGGCTTGCTGCAACCTCCACCTCCCTGGTTCAAGCAGTTCTCTGCCTCAGCCTCCTGAGTAGATGGGATTACAGGTATCTGCCAACAAGCCCGGCTAATTTTTTTTATTTTTTTATTTTTATTTATTTTTTTGAGACGGAGTCTTGCTATGTCGCCCAGGCTGGAGTGCAGTGGCACAATCTCGGCTCACTGTTTGCCTCCCAGGGTCACGCCATTCTCCTGTCTCAGTCTCCCAAGTAGCTGGGACTACAGGTACCCGCCACCAGGCCCGGCTAATTTTTTGTATTTTTAGTAGAGACGGGGTTTCACCGTGTTAGCCAGGGTGGTCTCGATCTCCTGACCTGGTGATCTGCCCACCTCGGCCTCCCAAATTGCGGGGATTACAGGCGTGAGCCACCGCACCTGGCCAATTTCTGTAGTTTTAGTAGAGATGGGGTTTCACTATCTTGGCCAAGCTGGTCTTAAACTTCTGACCTCGCGATCCACCCGCCTCGGCCTCCCAAAGTGCTGGAATTAGAGGTGTGAGCCACTGCGCCTGGCCAAGACTCCTCAAAAAAAAAAAAAAAAAAAAAAGAGAAAATCCCAACTACAAATGATGAGGCATTGGCGATGCTTTTGGGAATTCTCCCTCCATCTCTAAGAGTGTTTCACTGTCCTTTTGTGTACCAAGTGTGCATGACTCATGTGTGCCCAGCCTAGAAGTAGGCTTCATTATCTCCAGGTCCAGGTAAGGAAGTGACTTAGGATGAGGAAGTAAGGGGAGAGCTGGGATAGGGACCAGGCACCTTGGCCATCTATGCTGCCTCTCTGCTTCTCCTATGTCCCCAAGTCCTTGCACCTGCAGGTCCATGTGGCCTCTTTTCTTAGCCTAGTTGCAGAACATGCTGGTGGGAGGTAAGAGAAGGAGGCTCAGCCCAGATTCCTGGAGCCTGGCCACTCTATTGGAGAACGTTTTCCTGGGGCAAGTCAGGGGCTCCTGTCCTGCTGGAGGCAGAGCTTTACTCTGCTGGGGCCCCAACTCAGGCGACTGTCTTTCCCAAACACAGCAGACATGCTCAGGGGCAGCCCAACAAGGAGGGATGGGAACTGCTCTCCAGCTCAGGGAAACTTTGGGGCTATGGGTGGCGTGAGGGTAAAGTGGGGTCCTGGACTCAGAGCAGGAGGCCTGGATTCCTCTGCTACCTGCCAGCCATGTGACCCAGGTAACTCCTCTCTGAGCCTCACTTTCCTCATCTGCAAAGTGGAGACATCACTGCTTGATTCAAATAAATTGCAATGCTGTGATTGGCAGCTCTGGTCCAGGGAGAGGGGTGGTGGCTGTTGTTGGTTACTCTGTGTTCTCCCCTCTCTCCTCAGATTCAGGGCAGGATCCTGCTCCTGACCATCTGTGCTGCTGGCATTGGTGGGACTTTTCAGTTTGGCTATAACCTGTCTATCATCAATGCCCCGACCTCGGTACGTATCCTCTCTGTGTCGACTGCCCCTTTCTGAGTGGGTACTGGCTAACAGCTGCCCACTGAGGGGCTTCAGCCAGGCATCCACTTGGTGGCGCTTTCTGCCACAAGTTTGTCTCCATTGGGTTGGCCCACAGGTTCCTGCAGGTTCAAACTGAGCATACATCTTCCCCCAAACCTGCATGTCCTCCTGAGTCCCTAATCTCAGCGGATGACTCCATCTTCCACCTAGTGATGGGGGAGTCAGCGCTGACTTCTTTTCGTCTCTTGGACACCAAGTCCTTCCTAACTATCTCTAGAATCCAGCCACTTCTCCCCATGTCTCCACCACATTCCCAGTTCTGGCCCAGCCTCCTCACTGGCCTCCTTGCCTTCAGCCTCTCCCCATCTTGATCTCTTCAAGTCACTCTCCTGCTCAGAATTGTTTTTTTTTTTTTTTTTGAGACGGAGTTTTGCTCTTGTTGCCCAGATTGGTTTGTAGTGGCATGATCTCAGCTCACTGCAACCTCTGCCTCTCGGGTTCAAGCGATTCTCCTGCCTCAGCCTCCTGAGTAGCTGGGATTACAGGCATGTGCCACCACGTCCAGCTAATTTTGTAGTTTTAGTAGACATGGGATTTCTCCATGTTAGTCAGGCTGGTCTCGAACTCCCAACCTCAGGTAATCTGCCTGCCTCAGCCTCCCAAAGTACTGGGATAACAGGCATGAGCCACTGCTCCTGGTCTCATGAAGGTTATTTATAAAGTAGCCAGTGGAGGTTAAGTTTCCATGTTCAGTGGTGAGGCCTGGAGCTACCAGGGCCTCAGCTTCATGGAAAAAGGAAGAAGAAATTTTAAAAAACCAACTGACCAAAAGCAAGCAGGGCAGGCAGATCTGACCAAATGAACCCCTCGGTTTCACTGTCTCACACCTTCGCTCCCCCAACCCTGATACCAAAGCAAGTTAAGTATAGTTCCTCAAATGCCTATGACACAGCCCTTCCTCTAAGCCTCCTTCCATGGAGGGGCCCTCTCTGTTCCACCTGTAGAAGCCCACCCCAGATACCACCACCTTCTTGAAACCTTCTTCCCTCTCCAGCCCGTGGTGCAGGCTGTCCTCACTCAGGCTGTGTGAGGGCTGTTTTGTGTCCATCTCCTTTCTCCTGCTGATTCGCTCTCAGCATCTGAGTCATCTTTGAATCTCCAGCACTTGGTCGTAGCCTGGCCCGAGCCGATGTTCTGTGAGTGTCTGTGGAAAGGATGGGTCTTTCAGCCCCAGTGATAGAAGCCTACCTCTAACTTGCTTAAGTAAGAAGGGCAAGTACCTAGTCACATAACTGGGAGTGATGGGATATGGGGCTTCACACAGCACTGGGGGAAAGCTGTAGGAACCAGGCCCCAGGACAGAACTGTGGCTGCTGTCCTGCCCCTGATTTTCCTCTCTCGGTTTTTTTTTTTTTTTTTTATTTAGACAGAGTCTTGCTCTGTCACCCAGGCTGGAGTACAGTCACGCAATCTCGGCTCACTGCAACCTCCGCTCTGCCCCAAGCTCAGGTGCTCAAGCGATCCTCACACCTCAGCCTCCCAAGTAATTGGGACCACAGGTGTGTACCACAAAGCCCAGCTATTTTATTTGTATTTTTTAGTAGAGACAGGGTCTCATCATGTTGCCCAGGCTGGTCTCGAACTCCTGAGCTCAAGTGGTCCGCCCACCTTGGCCTCTTGAAGTTCTAGGATTACAGGCATGAGCCACCGTGCCTGCCTTGGCCTTGTTTTCATACCCAGTTGGGGAGCTGCTGTCACCAGATTCACTTCCTGCCAGCTGAGAACTCCCCCCACCAACAAAAGTCTTCCAGATTAGCTCATGTAGAAAGGCAGGGAAGAGCCCGAGGGGCTGGTTTGGTTTACGTGTCCACTCCCAGACCAGTAATGTGGTCAGGAGGCTGGGATGCTCGGATTGGCCAGATCTGGGCCAGATGATCACCTTTATGGGGGAACCAAGAGCTGTACTTGACTATGGAGAGAACTTCCTCCAAAGTAATATTTGTTAGCAGAAGATAGAGATGGGGATAGAAAGAATGATAACAGCCCAGCCTCTTAAAGCAAGGATGAGAATTTAGAAAGGGGGGTCTGAGCTGGCTACATTGGTTTGTTTGTTTGTTTGTTTGTTTGTTTGTTTATTTATTGAGATGGAGTTTTGCTCTTGTTGACCAAGCTGGAGTGCAATGGCGTGATCTTGGCTCCCTCTGTCACCCAGGCTGGAGCACGGTGGCGAGATCTCAGGTCACTGCAACCTCTGCCTCCCAGGATCAAGTGATTCTCCTGTCTCAGCCTCCTGAGTAGCTGGGATTACAGGCGCCTGTCACCATGCCTGGCTAATTTTTTTGTATTTGTAGTAGAAGTGGACTTTCCTCATGTTAGCCAGGCTGGTCTCAAACTCCTGACCTCAGGTAATCTGCCTGCCTTGGACTCCCAAAGTACTGGGATTACAGGCGTGAGGCATTGGTTTATTTATTCATTCATTCATCAAGCATTTGAGCACCCACTTCAGTGCACACTCAGACTAGAGAGGGGTCCATCCCGGGCTGGGCAGGTCACTCAGACCTTACCTCCCACGGCCATCACCAGCCCTCACAAAGGAGACTTTCCTAGGCTCAGAGGCTTCCCCTACCCTGCTGAATAGTGTTAAGTTCTAATTGTTAAAGAAAAAGTTATTCAGGCTGGACATGGTGGCTCATGCCTATAATCCCAGCACTTTGAGAGGCTGAGGCAGGCGGATCATTTGAGGTCAGGAGTTCGAGACCAGCCTGGCCAACATGATTAAACCCTGTCTCTACTAAAAGTAGAAATATTATCTGGGCATGGTGGTGCGTGTCTGTGACCTCAGCTCCTCCAGAGGCTGAGGCAGGAGAATCGCTTGAACCCAGGAAGCGGAGGTTGCAGTGACCTGAGATCTCGCCACCGTGCTCCAGCCTGGGTGACAGAGGGAGACTCCCTCTCAAAAAAAAAAAAAAGGCTGGGCACAGTGGCTCACGCCTGTAAACCCAACACTTTGGGAGTCTGAGGCAGGTGGATCATCTGAAGTTGGGAGTTCCAGACCAGCCTGACCAACATGGAAAAACTGCATCTCTACTAAAAATACAAAATTAGCCAGGCATGGTGGCACGTGCCTGTAATCCCAGCTACTTGGGAGGCTGAGGCAGGAGAATTGTTCGAACCCGGGAAGCGGAGGTTGCGGTGAGCCGAGATCGCGCCATTGCACTCCAGCCTGGGCAACAAGAATAAAACTCCATCACAAAAACAAAAACAAAAACTATTCAATGACACTTGTCAAAGCACAGTAATGAAGACTTTATTCAAGAGGTGGCAAGCACTAGTTGGAGGGACCATGGCAATGGGGTCCTGCCCTGAGGCAGAAAGATTGGATTCAACTTCAAATACAGCATGGGCAAGCGAGAACTGATAGCCGAGGAGTAGAGCAGGGTCAGTGGGTGCACAATGACTGAGAGGATCATCAGGCGTTTGTGGGGGATTCTGGTTAAATTGACCCAACAGGATTCTTGTTGAGGGCAGGCCAGGGTAACCAGACATCATGGAGGATGGCAGAGGATAAGGAGGCCAATTAGATTTTGAAAGTGATCAGATGTGGAGGATGAGGATTCTAGCTAAATCAACTTAGCAGGACACTTGCTAAAACTGAACAAGGCAGAGATGAACACGGAAGTCCAAAAGTTGAGACCTAGTTGAAAAAGAGCTCAGAATAGCAGGCGCAGTGGCTCACCCTTCTAATCTGAACACTTTGAGAGGCTGAGGTGGGAGGATTGCTTGAGCCCTGGAGTTTGAGATCAGCCTAAGCAACACGCAAGATCCAGTATCTACAAAGAAGTAAAAAAATATTCAACAGGGCGCAGTGGTATGAGCCTGTATTTGCAGGTACTTGTGAGGCTGAGGTGGGAGGATGGCTTGAGCCCAGGAGTTCGAGGCTGCAGTGAGCTACGATCATGCCACTGCACTCCAGCCTGGACAACAGAGGGAGACCCTATCTTTATTTATTTTTATTTTTTTTTGAGACGGAGTCTCGCTCTGTCGCCCAGGCTGGAGTGCAGTGGCCGGATCTCAGCTCACTGCAAGCTCCGCCTCCCGGGTTTACGCCATTCTCCTGCCTCAGCCTCCTGAGTAGCTGGGACTACAGGTGCCCGCCACCTCGTCCGGCTAGTTTTTTTGTATTTTTTAGTAGAGATGGGGTTTCACCATGTTAGCCAGGATGGTCTCGATCTCCTGACCTTGTGATCCTCCCGTCTCGGCCTCTCAAAGTGCTGGGAGGGAGACCCTATCTTTAAAAAAAAAAAAAGAGCTTAGAAAACTCTGAGGAGAATCTTTGTCAATGGTCACTCTTGAGGAGTTCCAGCCAATGTCAGGGGAAGCTGGCCCTGGTCCCAGCTCCTGTGGACAGTTCCTCCCCCGAGAGGCAGCTGGTGGTCACTAGGCTGCCAGTCATTGCCCTGAGCTGGGCAGGGGAGAGCTGGCCCAGCACCTGAACCCACTGCCCTCTCTTGTGTTCTGTTCTGTCGGGAGACCTGCAAATGACATTTCATCTCTAACCAAGAGAAGGGTGTCCATGTCTTCCCCACTTCTTTCCTAACCATGTGACTTCCCTTCACTCACCTGAGGTTTGGAGTCTGGGGAGTCCAAACTACCTGGTACAACCCTGACCCATGGCTAAAGCTGTGAGCAAGTCACTTCACCTCTCCCAGAGCCTAATCCCCAGTCTTGACAGTGACCAAGCCTGAGCATGGTTGCTCATGTCTGTAATCCCAGGGCTTTGGGAGGCTGCCTCCCAAAAGTAGTGAAACCCCGTCTCTACTAAAAAAATACAAAAAAATTAGCCGGGTGTGGTGGCGGGCGCCTGTAGTCCCAGCTACTCGGGAGGCTGAAGCAAGAGGATTACTTGCCAAGATTGGCACAATCTTGGCTCACTGCAACCTCCACCTCCCGGATTCAAGCAATTCTTCTGCCTCAGCCTCGCAAGTAGCTGGGATTGCAGGTGCCTGCCACCACACCTGGCTAATTTTTTTTTTTGTATTTTTAGTAGAGATGGGGTTCACCATGTTGGCCAGGCTGGTCTTGAACTCTTGACCCCAGGTGATCCACCCGTGTCTGCCTCCCAAAGTGCTCTGATTACAGGTGTGAGCCACCGTGCCTGGCCATGGAATTTCTTGAGTGATAGGAGCATCTTTTGTTATTTGCAATGAGCCCCATTTCATCATACCTGCGCGTATGCTAATGAGGTGACAGGGTAGGGCCATTAGACTGCCTCAGGATGGAGCTGGTCACCAAAAAGACCAAGAGATTAGAGGGTCAGAATGTTCAGCCCCACTCACAGAACTCTGAAAAAGGGAGAGGAGCTGAAGATTAAGGTCTATAAAAGCTCTTGAACAAGATTTGATGAGCTTCCAGGTTTGTGAACACATTGAGGTGCTGGGAAGGTGGTGCTCCTGCAGGGGACATGGAAGCCTCTAGCAACCTACTGCCCCAGGACCATGCCCAGTGCATCTTTCCCATATGGCTGTTCATGAGTTGTATCCTTCATAACAAACCAGTAAATGTAAGTAAAGGGCCTTCCTGAGTTTTGTGAGCCATTGTTGCAAATTTTCAAACCCATGGAAAGGGTCCTAGGAATCCCCAGTTGATGGCCAGTTGGTCAGAAGTGCAGGAAACCTGGTCTTGCAGTTGGCATCTGAAGAGGGGACAGTCTTGTGGAATGGAGCCCTTTGACTTGTGGGATCTGATGCTAACTCCAAGTGGATAGTGTCAGAATGGGATTCCATTGTAGTACTCCAGCTCGTGTCCGGAGAGTTAGAGAATTGCTTGATGTGGAAAAAATCCACACATTAGCTGTCAGAAGTGTTGTGTGAGTAGGGAGAAAAAGTGTTTTTGCAAAGAGGGGAAAATGGGGCATGTCCAATGCTAGGCTCTGAGGGATATTGAGGGATTAGAACCAGCATGGTGCCCTGCACAGGGGAGGTGCTCAGGTGAGTTAGTTCCTGCTCCACGGGGAGCTCAGAAGACACGGTGCCTGTTCTCATTGCCTGTTCTGCAGAAGCATGGAACCCTGTTGGGGAGAAGGCTTGTCTTGTCTAGTGCCCCCACGCCCCCATCCCCAGAAGGCTGACTGGCATTTCTGTCCACAGCACATTCAGGAATTCACCAATGAGACGTGGCAGGCGCGTACTGGAGAGCCACTGCCTGACCACCTAATTCTACTTATGTGGTCCCTCATCGTGTCTCTGTATCCCCTAGGAGGCCTCTTTGGAGCACTGCTTGCAGGTCCCTTGGCCATCACGCTGGGAAGGTAAGTGCTTCCTGCGTACCCCCTGAATGCCCTTTAATGAAGAGTGCTGCAGCCTGCAGGCTGAGGGACATGGAAGCAGGAAGAGGCCCGGCAAGCTCCAGGCCCAGATCAGCTCCTCATCGAGCCTCTTACTCTGCCTGGAGTTTCACCTTGCAAGACACATCTTCCGGGATTTGGTAGAGCAAACAGTCCTGTGCTACGAGAGAGGGAGGACTCCTGGTTTCTAATTTCATATCTACCAACAAGTGCTAACTGACCTAAAACAAGTATTTTCTTCCTGGGCCTCACTTTCCATCTGCATATCTAATGCAGTTCTTGGATTGCAAACAACACAAACTGACTCTGATTAACAGAATCAAAAATGTAATAGCTCAAAGGACATTGGGGCAGCTCATAGCATGAAAGGAAGTTCTTAGAAGCAGGGTGGCTTACCCCTGTAATCCCAGCACTTTGGGAGGAATTACACTAAGGAGGAAAGATTGCATGGGTCCAGGAGTTTGAGACCAGTCTGGGCAATATGGTGAGACCCCATCTCTACAAAAAATTAGCCAGGTATGGGCTGGGCGCAGTGGCTCATGTCCGTAATCTCAGCACTTTGAGAGGCCGAGGCGGGTGGATCCTGAGGTCAGGAGCTTCAGACCAGCCTGACCAACATGGCGAAAACTCATCTCTACTAAAAATACAAAAATTAGCAGGGTGTGGTGGCACACTTCTGTAGTCCCAGCCACTCAGGAGGCTGAGGCAGGAGAATCACTTGACCCCACAAGGCAGAGGCTGCAGTGAGCCAAGATCATGCCACTGCACTCCAGCCTGGGCGACAGAGTAAGACTCCATCTCAAAAAAAAAAAAAAGAAAAAAAAAATCAACCAGTTATGGTGACACATGCCTGTGGACCTAGCTACTCGGGAGGCTGCAGCAGGAAGATCATCTGAGCCCAGGAGATCGACGCTGCAATGAGTCTTGATTGTGCCACTGTACTCCAGCCTGGATGACACAGTGAGCCCCTGTTTCAAAACAGCTGGCTTACTAGCGATCTTAGTCTATTTTTGTTGCCATAATAAAATAACTGAGACTGGGTGATATATAAAGAACAGAAATTTACTTTCTCACAGTTCTGGAGGCTGTGAAGTCCAAGATCAAGGCACCAGCAGATTCAGTGTATGGTGAGGGCTACTCTTTCTGCTTCTAAGGTGGTTCCTTGTCCCTGTGTCCTCATATGGCAGAAAGGGCGAATGCTGTGTCCTCAGGGAAGACAAAGGGGCAAAAGGCAAAAAGAGCCTGCCTAGTTCCCTCCAGCCCTTTTATAAAGCACTAGTCCCATCAATGAAGGTGGAGTTCTCATGGCCTAATCAATCTCCCAAAGGTCTACCTCTAAATACTGTTGCATTGGAAATTAAATTTCAACCTGAATTTTGGAAGAGACACAAACCATCAAACCATAACACTAGCACAGGATCACCAAGACTGGATTAGACCACTGGGGCTCATATCTGCACCGTGGGGAGTAGGGGAACAATCGCAAACAAAAGTGGGGCTCTTCCCACGAAGATGGAGGTAATAACTATTGTGTGGCTATCTCATGATACCTGGTTCAGCTGGCATAAGCATGAAAGGAAGAAATTAAAAATTCAAATTTAGCACATATGCCTATTCTGATTATGTCAAATGTCTGTTCCCCTCCCCAGGACAGGGGGATGTAGTTCTTCCATTCAGCAGCTGACTGGAGCTCTGAAATGTGTTGCCATCTTTGGGTGCTCAGGGTTGGTTGCGTAGGGGAACAGGTGGGTTAGTCATCTCGGTGCCAGGAAGCCCCTATTGTTGAGCCCATGTGCGTTTTCTGTGCTTTCTACCCTATTTGCTTCATCACCCAACTGAGTAAGCACCAGGATGGTCAAAGGCAGTTGAATGCCATCTACAGATAGAAGGTCATATTGTCCATGATTATGCATGATTATGAAGAGCCTCTTTGCAGCAGGAAGGGGATTCTGATAAGCAGAAACATATTTATATATATCTTCAGGTTCTGGGTTATTTATTTATTTTTTTGAGACAGAATTTTGCTCTTCTTGCCCAGGCTGGAGTGCAATGGCGTGATCTTGGCTCACTGCAACCTCCACTTCCCGGGTTCAAGTGATTCTCCTGCCTCAGCCTCCCAAGTAGCTGGAATTATAGGCGCCCGCCACCATGCCTGGCTAATTTTGTATTTTTAGTAGAGACGGGATTTTCCATGTTGGTCAGTCTGGTCTCGAACTCCTGACCTCAGGTGATTCACCCACCTCGACCTCCCAAAGTGCTGGGATTACAGGCGTGAGCCATGGTGCCCAGCTATATTTTCAGATTCTGGGCTAATTTTAAAAGATACACCCACTTAGTGTTTCCCTGTACCTCCTTGAAACCAGTCTTCAAATTCTGCTAAGACTGTCTGTCCAACCAAACCTTTTGAAAAAGGGACAGGCCGGGTGCGGTAGCTCTCGCCTGTAATCCCAGCACTTTGGGAGACTGAGGCGGGGGGGTTCACCTGAGGTCAGGAGTCCGAGACCAGCCTGGCCAACATGGTGAAACCCCATTTCTACTAAAACTACAAAAATTAGCCGGGCGTGTTGGCGGACGCCTGTAATCCCAGCTACTCAGGAGGCTGAGGCAGGAGAATCACTTGAACCCGGGAGGCAGAGGTTGCAGTGAGCCGAGATCGTGCCACTGCACTCTAGCCTGGGCAACAAGAGTGAGACTCCATCTCAAAAAAAAAAAAGAAAAGAAAAGAAAAATAAAAAGAGGCAAAAGAAGTCCATGCTAGGCTGGGCGTGGTGGCTCATGCCTGTAATCCCAGCACTTTGGGAGGCTGAGGCGGGCAGATCATGAGGTTGGGAGATCGAGACCATCCTGGCTAACACGGTAAAACCCTGTCTCTACTAAAAAAAATACAAAAAAATTAGCCGGATGTGGTGGCGGGCGCCTGTAGTCCCAGCTACTGGGGAGCCTGAGGCAGGAGAATGGCGTGAACAGCTGAGGCAGGAGAATCACTTGAACCTGGGAGGCAGAGCTTGCAGTGAGCCCAGATTGCGCCACTGCACTCTAGCCTGGGTGACAGAGCGATACTCCGTCTCAAAAAAAGAAAAAAAGTCCATGCTAAAAAATCTATTGGATAGGTTTAAGTCTTTCAATACCTTTTAGGTCCAAACTGATGTGAGTGACCTATTCATGGGAAACTTTGGGGCCCACATTGGGCAAGTTTGGTTTATACCACTTCTATTCAGTGACGGAGTAGTACAGGGCACACTCAAGCTTAGTAGGAGGGTGTCAGACAGCACCCAGTTATGATAAGTACATGGCCCTGTGGCATCCCGCAGCCTGGTGTTTATTCCTCACTAGGGCCTAGTGACAAGGCCAGGAGCTCTTTCTCCTTAAGAGGATAGCAGGCTGGGCATGGTGGCTCATGCCTATAATTCCAGCACTTTGAGAGGCCAAGGGAAGAGGACCTCTTGAGCCCAGGAGTTTGAGACCAGCCTGGGCAACATAGCAGAACCCCATCTCTACAAGAAAAAAAGAAAAAATTAGCCAGGCATAGTGACGTACACCTGTGGTCCCAGCTACTCAGGAGTCTGAGGTGGGAGGATCACTTGAGCCTGGGAGGTCGAGGCTTCAGTGAGCTGTTATAGCACCACTGCACTCAAGCCTGGGTGACATAGTGAGACCCCATCTCTAAATAAATAAATATACATATTTATTTATATATCTATGAAAAATATATATTTATATATATCAAAAAATATATATAATATGTATATATAAAAGAGGCTAGTAATTTGCTGAAGGAGAGTAGTTCAACTTAAAAATCTTTGGTTTTGCATTGTGACCTCTTTTTAGAGTATTTTAACTGCCACTTTGAGCACCACAGGCTCTCCTAAAGCTAAAGGGTTGAGTGGCAGAGCTCTTTGAGCTTGGCTTGGGGCCGTGATTGTGTATAGTTGCTAGTGCGATGTGAATTTGGCTTCGACCCACTAGAGAAATACTTCTCTTGGTTAGCACCACTCAAAACTGCCAGGTTTTCAAGTCACCTGATAAATGTGCCAGGTCACGACACCTGATGTGGTATTCCGCTGCCTCCAAAATGGAAAGAAGCTCTCAGAGGCTTGTCCCTCCTCCTTAGAGGAAGGGGACTATGGTGCAGCAATTTGTCATGCACTTTGGAGAAAATACGCTGCCACCTCTTAGTCCTCTAGACCTCAGGAACTTCGTTGGAGTGGCAGCCCCCTGTCTCGTTTTTAATCTTCTACTCTTTGTCACAGTGTACCTTACCAAGACATCTAGTGCACTTGCTGCTTCCTCTTCTCCAGGTCCTTTCTGTATGAACTCATCAAAATAGTGGGACAGCAGCATGTCCTGTGGGATGCACAGGTCCCTGTGGAATGGACTGTCGCCCACAGATGGACAGCTGCTATATCCTTTTTTTAAATTTATTATTTTTTTTGAGACAGGGTCTCGTTCTGTCACCCAGGCTAGAGTACAGTGGTGTGATCTCAGCTCACTGCAACCTCCGCCTCCCGGTTCAAGCGATTCTCCTGCCTCAGCCTCCTGAGTAGCTGGGATAACAGGCGCATGCCACCAAGCCTGGCTACTTTTTGTATTTTTAGTAGAGATGGGGTTTCACCATGTTGGCCAGGCTGGTCTCAAACTTCTGACCTCATGATCTGCCCACCTCAGCCTCGCAAAATGCTGGGATTATAGGCATGAGCTGCTGCACCCGGCTGCTGCTATATACTTAAGGCAGGTCAGTGGAGGTGTATGACTCTTCCTGCAAGGTGAATGCTAAATGTTTTTGGCAATGTCTGTGTATTTAAATGGAGCAAAGTGCACTCACCAGATTGAAGTACTTAATTATTATTAATGGATTTATTAATTCCAGTGAGGAAAATGTCTATCATTGTAATTATAATTATTAGTTACAGTTGGAGTTACCACTGGATCAAGTTTGTTATAATCTACTGTCATTTTTGATTCTCTAGACACAAGACACACAGGCTTTGGCTCATATTTTATCACCAATGTGTTGGTCACTTTGAGCAGAACACTGGCCACTTCTGGTCTTCGGTTTCCCTCTCAGTACAGTGAGCTGTATCATCACAGTGAGCTCTCCTGGGTGATCTGTATGACAGCACTTCTGAGCTCAGTATTAGGAGCCAAAGCTAATGCTTCATCATGATGGAACAGGTGACATTTCCAATGGCCCCTCCTTGGATTGGTGTCTGTCCCATTGATCAAGGCATTGAGACATACAGCCATTCTGAGTTGTGAGAAGCGACTCTGTAATACATGGAGGAAAATATAAGGAAACTCCACTTGACTATCTATGCGTCCATTCCTTCACTCTAAAGTCCCTGTTCTTCCTCCCTGGAGTTGTATTGAATCTGATAAATTACATATTAGTACCTTCATTGTTGTTGTTGAGACAGTCTCACTCTCTCACCGAGGCTGGAGTGCAGTGGCGTGATCATGGCTCACTGCAGCCTCGTACTCTTGGGCTCCTGCAATCCTCCCACCTCAGCCTCTTGAGTAGCTGAAATTACAGGCGTGCGCCATCATGCCCAGCTAATATATATATTTTTTTTGAAATGGAGTTTCGCTCTTGTTGCGCAGGCTGGAGTGCAGTGGCGCAACCTCGGCTCACCACAACCTCCACCTCTCAGGTTCAAGCAATTCTCCTGCCTCAGCCTTGAGTAGCTGGGATTATAGGCATGTGCCACCACGCCTGGCTAATTCTGTATTTTTTTTAGTAGAGATGGGGTTTCTCCATGTTGGTCAGGCTGGTCTCGAACTCCTGACCTCGGGTGATCTGCCTGCCTTGACCTCCCAAAGTGCTGGGATGACACACGTGAGCCATCGTGCCCAGCCTAATTTTTTTGTATTTTTTGTAGAGATGGGGTTTCATCACGTTGCCCTGGCTGGTCTCCTGGGATCAGGTGATCTGCCCGCTTTGACATCCCAAAGTGTTGGGATTAAAAGCATGAGCCACCATGCCCAGCCCAATTTTTACATATATTTTAAAAATTATGTGTTCCAACAGACCTATAAGTGTAGGAACTCTCATCTCATTTGACAGCCAGGTTACCAGGACTCAAAGTAGTTAATGGCATACTTGAGGTCATGAACGAATGAATGACAGAGTCAAGATTTAAATTCAGGGTCTTGGCTGGGCGCTGTGGCTCACGCCTGTAATTCCAGCACTCTGGGAGGCCAAGGCAGGTGGGTCACCTGAGGTCAGGAGTTTGAGACCAGCCTGGCCAACAGGGAAAAACCCCATCTCTACTAAAAATACAAAAATTAGCTGGGTGTGGTGGCATGCGCCGGTAATCCCAGCCACTCTGGAGGCTGAGGCACGAGAATAGCTTGAACCTGGGAGATGGAGGTTGCAGTGAGCCAAGATTGCACCACTACATTCTAGCCTGGGTAACACAGCAAGACTTTGTCTCAAAAAAAACCAAAAAACAAAAAAAAACCAAACTCCTGGGCTCAAGCAGTCCTCCCACCTCAGCCTCCCAAGGTGCTAGAATTATAGGCATAAACCACCACCCCTGGCCAGTCCCTTCATTTTCAAAAAGTTTGGGGAGAACAATACTTAATCTGAAGGGGGAAAGCCATACCACATAAATTCTGTTATTTCAAGCTTTGCTGTAGGCAGAAAGGAGAGTAATTGGGGTGCATGGCGGGGGAGGGGAGTGGGAATATTCACCTGAAGGCATACCATAGGTGAGCCTAGGTATAATGGTCATTTCCGTTCATGCAGTTTAGACTCTTTGAAACACAAATACACACACGTGTGTGTGTGTGCTCAGGGCTTGTTAGAGTTGCAAAGAGTGGTCCCCAAGGATGGTCCCTCTGGACTGAACCACAGCCTCTCTTTCTGTGTGTTTCGCTTCCCCCAAGGAAGAAGTCCCTCCTGGTGAATAACATCTTTGTGGTGTTGGCAGCGATTCTGTTTGGATTCAGCCGCAAAGCAGGCTCCTTTGAGATGATCATGCTGGGAAGACTGCTTGTGGGAGTCAGTGCAGGTATGGGGTGGGGGTTTCTCGTCCTACCTCTCTATGCCTATTTATTCATAAATTCATTAATGTCTTTTATTTCATTTCTTCCCTCATTTCCTCCCTTTATTTATTTATTTATTTATTTATTTATTTATTTAATTTTATTTTTTTGAGATAGAGTCTCACTCTGTCGCCCAGGCTGGAGTGCAGTGGCGCCATCTCGGCTCACTGCAAGGCTCTGCCTCCTGGGTTCACGCCATTCTCCTGCCTCAGCCTCCTGAGTAGCTGGGACTACAGGCTCCCACCACCATGCCTGGCTAATTTTTTGTATTTTTAGTAGAGACGGGGTTTCACTGTGTTAGCCAGGATGGTCTCGATCTCCTGACCTTGTGATCCGCCTGCCTCAGCCTCCCAAAGTGCTGGGATTACAGGCGTGAGCCACCGCACCCAGCCTCATTTATTTATTTTTTGTTTATGCCTACCTTTGTCACAAAAGGATGAAATATAGTTTATCTTAAAAGACTCATATGACTAGATATTTAAAGTAGGTACAGAACAATGGAAAAGTTGTGTAGGGGTGGGGGAATAAACACCTGCAAACTAACACTAACAGAGGTCCCATGTTTGAGTAACACTGTAAGCCATGAGCTTCCTGGCAGCCAAAGTATAAAAGGATATAGGATGAGTTTTCTGATCTTCCCTCAGAAGCAGAATGGCCTGTTAGGTACTCCTCGGTTTGTGGGGCTTTTCATGTGAGAGAGCAGAATTTTGAGCACATCCACCTGGGCTTTTAAGGGCTCCAACACAGCTTCCTTAGAGCCCTTCACACTCAGGTCCCAGTGATGGGACCTAGGAAGTTCCCACGAACATGTGGGACTGTGGCCAGGGACCAGGATGGGAGCGGATCTGAGAAAGCCCTCTCTCAGAAGTTCTGAGGAGTAGAGTTGGGATCCTGTTGGCCCTTCAGCAGGTGAAGCAGAACCCCTCAGAGTGTGGGGGGTGAGGGATCAGCCCTCAGTGCCAGGATCCAGTTGAGTGGCTGGACAGTGCTGAGTGGGGCAGGGAAGACAGGCCGATGTCCCAGCTGGTGGCTGATGTGCCTCTGCTGTGCACACGTCCAGGCGTGAGCATGAATATCCAGCCCATGTACCTGGGGGAGAGCGCCCCTAAGGAGCTCCGAGGAGCTGTGGCCATGAGCTCAGCCATCTTTACCGCTCTGGGGATCGTGATGGGACAGGTGGTCGGACTCAGGTAAGCACCCCTCCCCCACATGCATTGAGTATTTCGGAGATACCAGTAAAAACCTTTCGTCACCTAAATGTCTCCCCTACCCACTAGTAGATTAAAGCATTGTTGTTTTGCATGAAGGCATCGAATCCTCTATCCATATCTCTGCTGCCAATTCACAAAATGGGTATCAGTCAACATACTGCAATGTGAATCACCTTATCCTATCCTCTCCAGGTCAGGGAGCAAAGAACAGGTCTTGACAGAGGAGAGGGTAAAGATTTGGGCTTTCAAAGAGAAACCTGTTCCAGTCATTCCAGAAAAAAGAGGAGAATGCAGAGCCTGGACTCTTGGAAAGGGGAGTTGCTAGGGATGAGGTGGGGCAGTGTCCCTGTCCTCTCTTGGTCCCAGCCTGGGTGGGAGGGATCTTGATGTTCAGACCCAGACTTGGATAGGAAGAGGCACGGGGCAATTGCAGACCCTCTGCAGGGAGGTGTGCAGGTGGGCAGGAAAGCAGGGTGGTAGGACTCTGGCAAAGAGGAATCTGGCCTGGCCTCTCCTCTGCCTCCTTAGGGAGCTTCTAGGTGACCCTCAGGCCTGGCCTCTGCTGCTGGCCAGCTGCCTGGTGCCCGGGGTGCTGCAGCTCGCCTCCCTGCCTCTGGTCCCCGAGAGCCCACGCTACCTCCTCATTGACTGTGGAGACACCGAGGCCTGCCTGGCAGGTGAGTCTCTGTCCTTGGGCTCCCAGACTGCCTTGACCAAGGGGTGCATCTCCTCAGAGTATATGGGTCCCCATTTCATAGGTTTCATTTATCAAGGAAAAGCTATCCCTCTCTTTGTGTCTCAGTTTCATGATCTGCCCATACCTGCCTTCAGTCAGAACTCTTATCAAGTGGCTGTCCAAACTGCCAGGCAGCAAAATGGATCAGACATAGCCACTGTTATTCAAGAACTCCAGAGTGGTGTGGAGAAACACACACACACACACACACACACACGGTCAAACACCTGTGCAAGACCTCACCTACCCAATGCTAACTGGGTGATGGTCATCTTATCAGTCAACTATGGCTACAATAAGAATGCCTAAGGAACAACTGCCATGTTTCTGGTTTAAAGCAACAATTATTTACTGCATCTTTTACTCATTTGCTTGCCTGGCTGGCTGCGCAGCTCTGCTGATCTCAGCTGGGCTACCTCACAGCATGGGGCGGGGGACGGGGGCAGCGGTGAGGTTCAGCTGCGGCTTGGCCGGTCTGGGCTAGTCTGGACTGGAGTCATTCAGCTTTGCTGCACTTTCTGTCCTCTCACTTTTGGTACCAACGGGTTAGCCTAGGAATAGTATGATGATGGCAGAGAAACAAGAAAGCAAATCCAGTTGCATAAGTGCTTTCCAAACCTTTGGTCCCCTCATGCTATTAACATTCCATTGGCCAAAGGGAGTCAGTCATGCTGCCAAATCCCAAGTCAAGGGATGGGAAAATTGATGGCATATCCTCTCCTATCGCAAGGGGTGTGCATTTAAGGAGGGGTGAAGACCAGAGCCCATTAGTGTACTCTTCTCTGTCACCATGGCCACAATTATTACTTATGTCTCTCCTCTGTGCAAAATGTGTTCAGTCCCATCCCAGGATCCCCCAGAGCCTCATCCAATCATGGCATCAGGCTTGAAGTCCCAGATCTTACACCACATTAAGTCTATATGGGCCTTTTCCTGATCCAGAAACCTAGGATCTAGAAAGATAAGTCTTCCTCCCTTCCCACACTCAGCGTGCAATGGTGAAAAGTAAGATGAGGTAACCGGAATTAAAGCTCTCATTTCAAAAACGAGGAAGCAAGGCAGGCATGGAGCAGTCACTAATCTATAACAATTCTGAAGTGCCCCTAGGAAAATACGGCCATGTCCCCTGCCTTGGGGGTAGGGAGTATTCTTTGTTCAAGTTCCGGCTCTGTCCCCTGCCCCCTAGGAAGGGCACCCCAGGCCATGGTTCTTTTTTTTTCTTTTTTTTTTCTTTAATTTTTTTTTTTTTTTTTTTTTTGAGACGGAGTCTCGCTCTGTCGCCGGGGCTGGAGCGCAGTGGCCGGATCTCAGCTCACTGCAAGCTCCGCCTCCCGGGTTTACGCCATTCTCCTGCCTCAGCCTCCTGTGTAGCTGGGACTACAGGCGCCCGCCACCTCGCCCGGCTAGTTTTTTGTATTTTTTTAGTAGAGACGGGGTTTCACCGTGTTCGCCAGGATGGTCTCGATCTCCTGACCTCGTGATCCGCCCGTCTCGGCCTCCCAAAGTGCTGGGATTACAGGCTTGAGCCACCGCGCCCGGCCTTTTTCTTTAATTTTTAGAGACAGGTTCTCGCTTGTCCAGGCTGGAGTACTGTGGCTATTCATAGGCATGACCCCATTGTTGATCAGCATGGAAGTTTTCTTCATTTCTGTTTTGGTTTTTTGGTTTTGTTTGGAACAGGGTCTTACTCTGTGGCCCAGGCTGGAGTGGTGTGATCTCAGCTCACTGCAAGCGCCACCTCCCAGGCCCAAGCAATTCTCCCACCTCAGCCTCCTGAGTAGCTAGGACTACTGGCCCGTGCCACCATGCTTGGCTAATTTTTTTTTTATTATTGTATTTTTTGTAAAGATGGAGTTTCACCTTTTGCCTGGGCAGGTCTCAAACTCCTGAGCTCAAGTGATCCATCCTCCTTGGCCTCCCAAAGTGCTTGGATTATAGGCATGAGCCATTGTATCCAGCTAGCACAGGAGTTTTGAACTGTCCCGTTTCCAGCCTGGGCCAGTGCATTCCTCCTTAGGCAGCCTGGTGGTCCCTGCTCCTGGGACGTCACTATATTGATGCTGAACTTAGTGTAGACACCTGATCTGCCTAGCGTACCACAACCCAGAGCTCCTGGGCCCAAGCGATCCTCCTGCCTCAGCCTCCTGAGTAGCTGGGACTCTAGGCACACACCACTATGTGTGGCTCTCCATGCTTCTTGCGTCTGCCCTCTGAGATGTTTTTCCTTTTCTATCACCTTCCTTGATTCCTTCTGAAGAGGGCATTGCACAGTGTGCTGCTTTTGATGGTTGAGCAAATTTATCAGCTTGCTTCCTGTCTACAGAGAGTTGGGGCAGGCTGGGCGCCGTGGCTCATACCTGTAATACCAGGGAGGCCAAGGTGGGCGGATCACGAGGTCAAGAGATCGAGACCAGCCTGGCCAACATGGTGAAACCCCATCTCTACTAAAAATACAAAAATTAGCTGGGCGTAGTGGCATGCGCCTGTAGTCCCAGTTACTAGGGAAGCTGAGGCAGGAGAATCGCTTGAACCTGAGAGGTGGAGGTTGCAGTGAGCCAAGATGGTGCCACTGCACACTGCACTCCAGCCTGGTGACAGAGCAAGACTCCATCTCAAAAAAAAAAAAAAAAGAAAAGAAAAGTTGGGGCACAGAAGTCTTTATATTTCAAATTGTCCTGGTCAAAAAGCAGAGCTTTTGCCAATACAACTTTCTCAAAAATAATGTGAGTTTTCTATGTATTTGAGGTTTTTTCATGTGCCAACAAACCACACTCACAATTACTTTTGAGACAGGCTTCTCTCCCAAGGCCTAATTGCTGTTATTTAGGGTATGTCAGGCTACCCTGAAGCAATGCCCGCAAGCCTCCTAAATGCCCCCTTTTCTAGCTGTGAGGGTCTATGAGGCATTGCTTTAAGCCACACGCTTGATTTGATCTTTACTATGAGTCCATGGCTTCCTGGCAGTGCTCCGGATTTGATCTTTGCTCACAGGCTGTTACTTAATTTGGGATTCTTTTGCTAGCTGGAGAGGATAGAGGTGAGAAAACATTTTTGTTGTTGTTTTCAACTAACCCAGCGTTTCTGAAATATGCTATATTTAATTAAATTTTGTTGCCTCTGAATTCTGTTTGCAAACTGGCCAGTTATTTTCTGAGCTAATTCTTCATGTCTTACAGCGAGCTTAGAATACTCATTTAACAGCAACCAGTTCATGCTTTCAACATTTGGAGTTTTCTTTGCTCAAGTCCATAAGTTCATTGAGCCCATTTTCTTTCTTCCAAGTTACTGCACTATATAACATAGCATTTCATTTCTTCAACCTCATCGCCATCCTCTTCCTGGTCTTGGAATTAATACCATATTTCACAGGTCTTTGTTATGGTAGCACCCACTCCTGGTGCCAATTTATTGATCAGCTTTCTTTTTTTTTTTTTTTTTTTTGAGACAGAGTCTCGCTCTGTCGCCCGGGCTGGAGTGCAGTGGCCGGATCTCAGCTCACTGCAAGTTCCACCTCCCGGGTTCACGCCATTCTCCTGCCTCAGCCTCCCACGTAGCTGGGACTACAGGCGCCCACCACCGCGCCCGGCTAATTTTTTGTATTTTTTAGTAGAGACGGGGTTTCACCGTGTTAACCAGGATGGTCTCGATCTCCTGACCTCGTGATCCGCCCGTCTCAGCCTCCCAAAGTGCTGGGATTACAGGCTTGAGCCACCGCGCCCGGCCTATTGATCAGCTTCCTATTGCTGACTAATAGACAATCGTAACATCTCGGTGGTAAGCAAACAAACAAAACAAGCAATTGTTTAGCCTAAGCCTCTAGGTCCTCTGGGCTGGGCTGATCTAGGATGGTTCTGGCTGATGTCTCTGCTGATCTTGGTCATTCCTGCAACTGCAGCTCAGCTGGGCATTGGCTGATCTAGAACAGTCCCAGCGAGGGTGGCTCATCTGGGCCCCTTTGGCTGTCCATGTCTCTTTTTTTTTTTTTTTTTTTTTTTTTTTTGAGACGGAGTCTTACTCTGGTCCCCCAGGCTAGAGTGCAATGGCATGATCTTGGCTCACCACAACCTCTGCCTCCTGGGTTCAAGCAATTCTCCTGCCTTAGCCTCCTAAGTAGCTGGGATTACAGGCGCCTGCCACCACGCCTGGCTAATTTTTGTATTTTTAGGAGAGATGGGGTTTCACCATGTTGGCCAGGCTGGTCTCGAACTCCTGACCTCAGGCCCGCCTCTGCCTCCCAAAGTGCTGGGATTACAGGCTTGAGCCACTGCGCCTGGCCAATGGCTGTCCATGTCTCTTGTCATCCTCCTGGCTAGCCTGGAATGTTCTCATGGTGGCAGAAGAGCAAGTATAAGTGAGCAAGGCCTCTTAAGGCTCAGGCTGGAACATGGCACGCCCTCACTGCAGCCTCATCCTATTGGCCAAGCCCAGAGCCAGGAGCAGGGATGTAGGCGGTACTTGCCCCTTTAGTGGGAGGAACTGCAAAATCACACAGCAAGCAGCATGGGTGCAGGGAGGGGTGAAGAATTGAGTTTGATAATGTGCTGCAATAGTCATGATATGTCTGCAGAACCCCGAGTTTCTTTCTAAAGCCTTTTTTCATCCACGGTAGCAACACCCCAACAGCCCTGAGAAATGTCAGGGCCAGGAAGATCATCTCCATCTGACCAGGGAGGCAAACAGACACAGAGAGATTGAGAGAGACAGAGGCAGAGAGAGACACACACACACAGAGACAGACACAGAGACAGAGAGTGAGCCAAGAAGGAAAGGAATGGTGTGATGGAGGAGAGCGTCCCTGTGGGGGGACCAAAGAGGGGCTTGGGGAAGGGGAGCTCAGTACCCTCTTCCCTGGCTCAGCACTACGGCGACTGCGGGGCTCAGGGGACTTGGCAAGGGAGCTGGAGGAGCTGGAGGAGGAGCGCGCTGCCTGCCAGGGCTGCCGTGCCCGGCGCCCATGGGAGCTGTTCCAGCATCGGGCCCTGAGGAGACAGGTGACAAGCCTCGTGGTGCTGGGCAGTGCCATGGAGCTCTGCGGGAATGACTTGGTGAGACCCCTGCCCCGCCCCACGCCCTGGGCCCTGGAGGCTTGGTGTTGCAGGCTGCTGGGAGCCATGGGAGGTGGAAAGGAGCCCAGGCCTGAAAGCCATGCTCTCCCAGATGTACGCCTACGCCTCCTCCGTGTTCCAGAAAGCAGGAGTGCCAGAAGCGAAAGTCCAGTATGCCACCATCGGGACTGGGAGCTGCGAGCTGCTCATGGCGATTGTTAGTGTGAGTCTGGAGGGCGCCCTTCTTCCACCAGCCCTTGGGGGAGGGACCCCCAGGTCCTCTGCATTAAACCAGTTTACACTCCAGCTTATGGTGTTAAAATGCAGTGAGGGGGCCGGGCGCGGTGGCTCAAGCCTGTAATCCCAGCACTTTGGGAGGCCGAGACGGGCGGATCACAAGGTCAGGAGATCGAGACCATCCTGGCTAACATGGTGAAACCCCGTCTCTACTAAAAATACAAAAAAAAACTAGCCGGGCGAGGTGGCGGGCGCCTGTAGTCCCAGCTACTCCGGAGGCTGAGGCAGGAGAATGGCGTGAACCCGGGAGGCGGAGCTTGCAGTGAGCTGAGACACGGCCACTACACTCCAGCCTGGGCGACAGAGCGAGACTCCGTCTCAAAAAAAAAAAAAAAAAATGCAGTGAGGGGCCGAGTGCAGTGGCTCACGCCTGTAATCCCAGCACTTCGGGCCGAGGCGGGTGGATCACGAGGTCAGGAGTTCGAGACCAGCCTGGCCAACATAGTGAAACCTTGTCTCCACTAAAAAATACAAAAAATTAGCCGGACATTGTGGCGGGCACCTGTAATCCCAGCTATTCAGGAGACTGAGGCAGGAGACTCACATGAACCCGGTAGGTGGAGGTTGCAGTGAGCCGAGGTGGTGACATTGCACTCCACCCCAGGCGATAGTGCTGAGGTGGGATCAGGAGTTCGAGACCAACCTGGGCAATACGGTGAAACCCGTCTCTACAAAAAATACAAAAATTAGCCGGGTGTGGTGGTCTTTGCCTGTAGTGCTAGCTACTGGAGAGGCTGAGGTGAGAGGATCACTTGAGCCTAGCAGGTTGAGACTGCAGTAAACCGAGATTATGCCACTGCACTCCAGCCTGGGCTGGACCAGCGAGACCCTGTCTCAATCAATCAATCAATGCAGTGAGTTAGAGAGCATCTATTGTTTGCGGGTCACTTCCAGCACCATTTTGAGATGCGGAAACTGGCTGAAGTTGGGTGATTGATTGACCAAGTTCCTTTAGGAAATTAATAAAGTCACATTGAAGCAATAAACTACCCCCACCTCCACCACCAGCTTTCTCAGGAGACCCCTTCCCATTGCCTGCCCCACACCTCAGGAACCATGGCTGGGTGCATGGGTCTGTGCTTTCTTCCTTTGAAGTGTGTGGCAGTCGAGAGGATGGGTCGGCGCGTGCTGCTCATCGGTGGGTACAGCCTGATGGCCTGCTGGGGGAGCATCTTCACTGTGGCCCTGTGCCTGCAGGTAGCTGGCGTGGATGAGGGCTGGAGGGTCCAGGCCAGGCTAACTTCCACCTCACCCCTGCCCCGTCCATGGCAGAGCTCGTTCCCCTGGACACTCTACCTGGCCGTGGCCTGCATCTTTGCCTCCATCCTCAGCTTTGGCATTGGCCCTGGTGAGTGGGCCCAAGGGGCTCTGGGCATCCGTCATCACATAGAAGGAGTGATGGGTGGCTGGGTGCATGGTGGTGGTGTGAATGCAATGTCCCCTGCGGGCCCTCAGAGACCACCTCATGCTGGGGCTTCTGGGAGGGAATGGCAGGAGGAGAGCCCTGGGGGTCCCCCATACAGACTGGGCCTGGGCTTCCACTCCCATGTCTGGGCTGGGGTAGGGGAGAGGCAGGCAGGGACCCCTGGCCAGCAGACCCCTGTCCCTGCCCCTCCTTCCAGCCGGGGTGACGGGGATCCTGGCCACAGAGCTGTTTGACCAGATGGCCAGGCCCGCTGCCTGCATGGTCTGCGGGGCGCTCATGTGGATCATGCTCTTCTTGGTCAGCCTGGGATTTCCCTTCATCATGGTAGGCCCGCCCCTCCCGCTGGGGGCCCTGCCTTAGGCTGTGTCCCTGTCATCTCAGCCTCCCGCTGAGAACCCCAGCAGGAGGCTTCCATCCAGGGAGACTGAGACTGAAAGGGAGGGGTCTTAGGGGAGCAAAGAGGGGGGCAAATCCCTCCTCACAACCTGTCATGGGCCTTCCGTTTGGGGTTGATGGAGCCACACCAGGTCTTGGGGTCTCTTTTAATCCGCAGGAGGCCTTGTCCCACTTTCTCTATGTCCCTTTCCTTGGTGTCTGTGTCTGTGGGGCCATCTACACTGGCCTGTTCCTTCCTGAGACCAAAGGCAAGACCCTCCAAGAGATCTCTGAAGAATTACACAGACTCAACTTCCCGAGGCGGGCCCAGGGCCCCACGTGGAGGAGCCCGGAGGTTATCCAGTCGACAGAACTCTAATCCCAAAGGGGTGACCAGGGGCCAAAGCCAGCTGCTGTCCTGTCCTCTGCTTCCTGCCAGGGCCCTGGTCCTCACTCCCTCCTGCATTCCTTTGTTTAAGGAGTGTTTATTGAGCACCCGTTGTGTGCAGACATGGCTCCAGGTGCTTAGCAATCAGTGGTGAGAGTGGTGTTCCAGGCTAAAGGTAATTAACTGACAGAAAATCAGTAACAACATAATTACAGGCTGGTTGTGGCAGCTCATGACTGTAATCCCAGCACTTTGGGAGGCCAAGGTGGGAGGATCAGTTGAGGCCAGAGTTTGAAACCAGCCTGGGTAACATAGTGAGACCCTCTGTCTCTACAAAAAAGTTAAAAAATGAGCTGGGCATGGTGGTATGTGCTAACAGCTCTAGCTACTCAGGAAGCTGAGGCAGCAGGATCACTTGAGTCCAAGAGTTCAAGGTAGCAGTAAACTACGATCACACCACTGCATGCCAGGCTGGGTGACAGAGGGAGACTTCATCTCTTTAAAACGTAATAATTACAGACTCAGGAAATGCAGTGAAAGAAAAATACAGGTTGGCCAGGCGAGGTGGCTGATGCCTATAATCCCAGCACTTTGGGAGGCCAAGGCAGGAGGATCGCTTTGAGACCAGGAGTTTGAGACCAGCCTGGGCCACACAGTAAGATCCTGTTTCTACCAAAAAATAAAAAAATAATAAAATAAGCTGTGTGTGGTGGTACATGCTTGTGGTCCCAGCTACTCAGGAGGCTGAAATGGGAGGATCACTTGAGCCTGGGAGGTCAAGGCTGCAGTGAATCCTAATTGAGCCACTACACTCCAGCCTGGACAACAGAAGGAGACCATGTTTCAAAAAAAATAAATACAGGTTGTAGTGGGTATGGATGTGCGTACCAGGAGGACTGATCTAGTCTGAGAGGGGAGTGATTAGAATTTTCTGAGGAATTGATGTTTTTAATCAACTTTATTGAGGTACGATTTATACATAATCAAATATATCCATTTTAAGTCTATATTTGGTGAGTTTTGAGAAGTGTATACACTTGTGAAACACCACCGCAATCCAGATGGAACGTTTACCCTGCCCCAAGGCACCCTCATGCCCCTTTGCTATCAATAACCCACCCCAGTCCCAGCCCCAGGGAACCACTGACCTGCTTTCTGCCTCAATTAGTCAGATTTACCTTTTTTCAGAATCTGAAGTCATTCCATACTGTATGTACATATTTGTGTCTGGCTTGGCTTCAGATACAGTTTTTGGGATTCATGCATGTTGTTGCATGTATTAGGAGAGACTCCTTTGTATTGCTGAGTAGTATTCCCCTCTGTGGTTAGACCATGATTTATTTATCCATCAACCTGTTAGTGGACATTTTGGCTGTTTCTAATTCTTGGCCATCATGAATAAAACTGCTGTGAATGTTCCTACACAAATCGTTGTCTAAACATGTGTTTTTATTACTTTTGTGTCTTAGTCTGTCAGCTGCTATAACAAAGAACCATAGCCTGGGTGGCTTATAAACAACAGAAATGTATTTTTCATGGTTTTGGAGGCTGGGAGGTCCAAGATCAAGGTGACAGTGGATTCAGTGTCTGCTGAGGGCCCATGTCTTGATTCATTGATGGCGGTCTTCTCACTGTGTCCTCCTAGACATGGCAGAAGGGGCAAGGGAACTCTCTGGGGTCTCTTATAAGGACACCAATCCCGTTCATGCAGGCTCTGCCCTCATGACCTAATCACCTCCCAAGAGGCCCAAAGGCCCTACCTCCAAGTACCATCATATGAGGAATTAGGTTTCAATGTATGGGGAGGTTACCTGGGGAGGACATAAACAGTCAGTCTAGCTTTTTGGGTAAATGAATTGCTGGGCTTAATAATAAATGCATATTTAACTGTATACAAATTGTTTTCAAAAGTGATTGATTATACTATTTCACATTCTCGTTAACAATGTGTGAGAGTTCTGGATACTCCAAATCCTCACCAGCACTTGGTATTGTCAGTCTTTTCAATTTAGCCATTCTAGTGAGTGTGTAGTGGTATCTTGTCATTTAATTGTGGTATTTCCCTGATGACCAATAATGTTAGACATCTTTTCATGGCCATTCGTGGGTTTTCTTTTATGAATAATTTGTTCAAATCTTTTGTCTACTTTTTTTTTTTTTTGAGACAGGGTTCTCTCTGTTGCCCAGCCTGGAGGGCAGTGGAATGATCTCAGCTCATTGCAACCTCTGCCTCCTGGACTCAAGCGATCCTCCCACCTCAGCCCCCCAAGTAGGGGGGACCACAGGTGTGAGCCGCCATGCCCTGCTAATTTTTGTATTTTTGGTAGAGATGGTATTTTGCCATGTTGGCCAGGCAAGTTTCAAACTCCTGACCTCAGGTGATCCACCCACCTTGGCTTCCCAAAGTGCTGAGATTACAAGCATGAGCCACCGCACCCAGCCCTTATCTGCTATTTTTAATCAGGTTGGTTGTCATTATTTTTGAAATGTGGACATTTTTTATACATTCTGGAAGCTAACACTTTGTTAAATATATAGTATCATAAATATTTTCTTGCAGTCTGTAGCTTGCCTTTTTTATTTGCTTAATGCTACCTTTCTAAGAGCAGAATTTATTTATTTATTTATTTTTATTTATTTGTTTGTTTTTTGAGACAGTCTTGCTCTGTCACCCAGGCTGGAGTACAGTGTCGCAATCTCAGCTCACTGCAGCCTCTGCCTCCTGGGTTGAAGCAATTCTCCTGCCTCAGCCTCCTGAGTAGCTGGGACTACAGGCACACGCCATCACACTGCTAATTTTTTTGTACTTTTAGTAGAGACGGGGTTTCACTATGTTGGCCAGGATGGTCTTGATCTCCTGACCTCGTGATCCGCCCGCCTCGGCCTCCCAAAGTGCTGGGATTACAGGCATGAGCCACCTGGCCCAGCCAAGCAGAAATTTTTATTTTGGTAAAGTCTGATTTATCAATTTTTGGTTTTTGTGATTCATGCTTTTTGTGCCATAAGATATCTTTGCCTATCCCAATGTTGCAAAGATTTTCTTCTAAATGTTGGATAGTTTTAGCTTTTACACTTATGTTGCTGATGTTGAATTTCAAGTTAATTTTTGTGTATGGTGTGAGGGGTTGAGGTTCCTTTTTTTTTGGAACAGGGTCTCACTGTGTGTTGCCCAGGAGTGCAAGTAACATGATCTCAGCTCACTGCAACCTCCACCTTCCAGACTCAAGCAATCCTCCCACCTCAGCCTCCTGAGTAGCTGGGACTACAGGTGCATGCCACCATGCCTGGCTAATTTTTGTTTTGTTTTGTTTTATTGTTTGTTTTTGTAGAGACAGAATTTTGCCATGTTGCTCACACTGGTCCTGAACTCATGGACTCAAGCCATTTGTTTGCCAGAGTGCTGGGATTACAGGAATGAGTCACAGCGCCTGGCCCTTTTTCCTTTTCTTTCTTTTTTTTTTTGAAATGGCTATCTGGTCGTACCAGCACCGTTTGCTTAAAAACAGCCATCTTTTCTTCATTATTTTACTTTGGTGCCTAAATTAAAAAATCAATGGACTATTGTTGTATAAGAAATAATTTCGCTTTTGTAGGAAACAGTGACTGTTAAAGAGAAATGGTGGCAGTGGGTTCTCTGGAGAGAGAAATATGTGGGTCAGGGGATCAGTAGGGGTCTCAGGGAGATGGTGACTCTGAGCTGGCTTCCCAAGGATAGGCTCAGCTGGGAGCCTTTTAAAAGCTAGAGCCTTGGTGGCATATGCCTGTAGTGCCGGCTGAGGTGGGAGGATCGCTGGAACCCAGGAGTTGGAGATTACAGTGAGCTATGATTGCACCAGTGCACTCCAGCCTGGGCCACAGAGCAAAACATTGTTTCTACCAAAAAAAGAAAAAAAAAAAAAAAAAAAAAAAGCTGGAGCCACTCGGAGGCAGCAGCGTTGCGGGATGGGAATGAAGCCCCCGTGTCCAGTCACTGTGGAGTCTTCAGTTGGCAGGGGCAGCCCTCCCAGGAGCCCTGTGTGTGGTCACTCTGACCCTCTGTCCATCCACCCTGATCCTGCATCTGTTGACCTGCTCCCCAGCTTACCTTTGTGCTCCAAATGGCTTCCCTGGCCGCCCTGGCTGCAGACCTCCAATGTAGAGTCATGAGTAAGAATCCGTTGACAAGCACCCCTGAGATCCTGGGGTACATGCCACAAGCAGAGCAGGCATCAGGTGACTCCCAGGTCCCGGCCTACCTCAGACCCACTTGGTGACCTGGTCCCCAGCCGGAGCCCTGCCCTCTCACTCACCACCCACCCAGCCGGAATTGGCTCTGGCCACTCTGGGAGCACAGGGTGGGGGTTGCAAGTCCCTTGTTGCCCAGGGAGCCCCTCAGTTAGGGAGAGGAGACAGGATCTCAGGACAGGACCTTGAAGACAAGGAAGGGCAGCGCAGAGAGGGGCGGGAGAGCCAGACTGGGTTTCTAGGGGGTGGTCCAGGGTGGGAGCTGACCTGTCTCTGCTGAGCCTGCGTTCCAGGTGTGAGCATCGATGTCTAGCTCATGTAGCTGGAGAGGAGCCACAGCCATGCTCCCCAGCTCCAGCCCACCTCCCCAGACCCCAGACCCAGTGTGGCCTCTCCCCACCTCCCAGAGCATGTGATCAAGCCCCTCAACTAGCCCGAATCCCTCCAGGACCTACATGTCCCAGCTTCCCAGGGCCAGGAGACAGGGCCCAGCCCATCTGGCAGGCTCGAGTTGACTGCCTGGCCGCCAGGATCCAGGCGGCGCTCACAAGGATCTGGGCTTGCACAGCCTGCAAAGGGCCGCTGTCCATTCTCTTGTATTTGCTCTCATCCTCTCCTTTCTTGGACCCTCTGAGTCTCTGGTTCCCTCTTGTTGGGACCCAGATCACTCTGTACCTCAGCTGAATCATTTTTCCCTTCAGTTCACACATATCCACCTAGGGTCCACTACATCCAAAGGCTTCCGCCTCAGTCCTTGTCCTCAGGCTGTGCCCAGGCTTATGAGGATGGCAGTCATCCTTACCTTGCAAAAAGTAAAACAGTCTCCCAGTGACAACAATGTTCAGGGATAACATCTATGGAGGGCTTTCTACGTATCAGGACCATTCTGAGTGTCTTCCAAGTGTTAGCTCCTTTAATCCTGGAAAGGACCCCATGAAATTAGTACTTTTATCCCCCCTGTTGTACATATGAGAGACTGAGTAGAAGCCGGTGGCTTGTCTAGGGTCACCCAGCTAACTGGAATGGCCAGGAGTAGACCTGGTGACCATGGACCCCAGACCTTGATCACTGCACACGCTGCGTCTGGGGCCTCACCTGGTATCTGAGGTCCGTGGCACGCTGGTGCTGATCATTCAGAGTGCTCATGGGCAGTGTAGTCTAGAGTCTGTGTGCTTCCTGATTTCCTTGATCTCCATTTTATTGAGGAGGCCTTTAGGCCACCCAAGGGGTCCAGAGTGACCCAGTGGATTAGCAGTGGAGCTGAACTTGAGCCAGTGCTCTTCGAGGCTCGTGTTCTGCCCCCACTCTGGTTCATTCTGCAGGTAGCAGGGAATCATTGAAGATTAGAGAGAATCAAACACCTAGAGAGAGATGACTCTGCCCGGGGAACCCAGGCTCCTGTCTGGGTGCACACTCCAGGGCTAGATGGTGACTTCTCAGCTACTCTAGCTTCATAGGCTCATACGTGCATGTGAGCATGCATGTGGACACACACACACGTGCACGCATACACACATGGACACACACACACACTGCTGTCTTTAGAATCAGACCATGAAAATGCTTCCTCAGAGGCCTAGGGGTGAGAAAACTGACAGGTGGGTGGTGCCTCCAGCTGGATGTGCTAGGATGGGGTGGGAGATGAGGTGACCACACCTGGGTGGCAGGGGCTCTGGGGCAGTGAATCTTCTAACTAACAGATCTGGGATGCTGCCATGAGGAAGAAGAGGGAGTCAGCAGCCATGCCTGCCAATGCCTCCTGGAGCATTTGCCCATGGTTTGCAGATAATTATTGTGTCCCTATGGGTCCCAGGTTTATTATTTTTATTGCTGTTATAACAAATCAACACAAACTTTTAGCAGCTTCAAACAACACACATTTATTATCTCCCAATTTCTGTGGGTCAGTAGTCCAGCGTAACGTGACTAGGTCTTCTGCGTCAGGACTCGCATGGCCAAAGTCAAGGTATCGGAAGGGACAAGGGAAAAATCCACTTCCAAGTTCAATCTGGTTGTGAGCAAAATTCAGTTCCTTGTGGTTATACCATGAGGTCTCTGGTCCCCTTCATCTTCAAAACCAGTAATGGACATCGAGTGCTTCTCTTGCTTCGAATCTGGCACTCTGGCTGGAGAAAATTATCTGCTTTTAAGAGCTCATGTGGTTAGATTGGGTGTACCCAGATACTCGATGCTAATCTCCCTATTAGGTCCATAATCCTAATTGCATCTGTGAAGTACTTTTTGCCAGGTAACATAGCATACTCATAGGTTCCAGGGATTAGTGCTTGTCCTCCTCCTGCTATTCTTTAGTGGGCAGGGGGTCATCTGCCTACCATGGAGGTAAGGGGTCAGGAGGTAGGCATACAGCAATGCCCAAAAAGAGACTGTCCCCACTGGCACGGAGTTTACCGCCTAGACATGCAGTCTTAACTCAGAAATATGGAGTTAGCCTTGAAGGACAGGACAGGTGCTGGGCACATGTGGGAATGGACCAAGCCAGGTGCTCCAGGGGCTTTCCCAAGGACCTGAGGCTGAGTCAAGAACTGGAGGATGAGTTGGAGTCAGACAAGGGAAAATGTGGGCAAGCTGGATTTTAGGACCAACCCCAACCCTGGAGCCAGGAGCCATGGTACTGAAGGACAGTGTGCCATGACTCAGAGAACAAGGGAGGGTTGGGGGAGGCTCACAGGGCCTTGTGACAGTACAATCCCTAGTATCAGAGGAGACTGTTACTGGCATTTAGGCCACTTGGTGCTTATAATACCTCTATGTCAGGTGAACACTATTGTCATCCCCAAATTACAGATGGGGAAACTGAGCCAAATGCCCATGCTAGTAAGAGGCAAATCATATCACTTCTTTGGGTACCCTTCTAGAAAGATGAGGCTGACTGCCACTGGAAACAGCTGGGGAGGGTACAAGGAGATGACAAGTGGCTCAGAGGCTGTCCTGGCTGTAAGAATTAAAGAGGAAAGAAACATGGTGGCTCAACAGTCAACATGGACAGGTTTATTTTAGAAAACAAACTTCAGAGGGGCTTCTGGTCAAGTTAGGTCAGAGCCACACTCTCTTACAAACTAAGGATACTTAAGGGTTTTGGAGGGGGTGCTTATCATAGGTTCCAAATGTTTCTGTGTGAGGGAAAGTTTATTGCAGGGTTGGAATGTCTCTGGTTGGAGGGGAGGCTGTCTCGGGGTTGGCATGTTTCTGGTGAGAGAGGGGTTTATCTTAGGTTTGGAATGTTTCTGGTTATGCTGACATTAGCCATTAGGCTGATGTTTTGGGGCTGGATTTAGGCAGCTTTTAATTAAGGGGGAACTTAGAATGGTGGTGTTTGTTCAAGGTGGCAATGCTCCTGCTCCGTCACTGGCCAGGTAAGGCAACCCTCTGTTATGATAACAACCTGAGATTGGCAGGGGCTCACATCCAGGGGGAGCTCAGGTGCTTGCTGGCGAGGCTGCACCTTGTCATTCAGGTTCACAGGGAACAGGTCAACCAGGCCCTGGCTCTTCAGTCTTCTGCCTGGAGTGACTTATGTAATTCTGTTCAGCTTTCATTGGGCACAGGGAGTCATAGCTAAATCTGCTGCCTGGGGCTGGGAAACAGACTCCTCCCTTGAGAAGCAGCAGTCCACCATAGGGAAGTCACAGTGGTCCAGGCCAAAGGCAATGCAGCTAGTGCAGACTAGGCAGTAGTGCAGGGAATGGAGAGAAGTGGGAATAAAGGGATAGTGAAAGGAGGCACATTTCACTGGCAGGTGATCAGGTGTAGGAGGACAAGTCATATATCTGGACTTTACAGAGCAGTGGACACTCAGTCGGTTGCTGTCAGCGCCTGGGGCTTAGGGGAGTGCCCCTGGCTGGAGACATGGCATGGAGTGCCATCATTTAGGGAGCCCTGGACACAAGTAAGAGAAGGTGCGACAGCAGGAGGGAAAGAGTCTGGGGCCCAGCTGCAGGAACCAACACCCATAGGCTATTTGTATAAATGGGCCATGGGGCCTCCCAACTGGAGGCTGGCTGGTGCCACGAGGGTCCCACAGGCATGGGTGTCCCTACTATATCACATGGCCTTCACCGAGACTGGTATATGGATTGCACCTATCAGAGACCAAGGACAGGACCTCCCTGGAAATCTGAGGACCTGGCCTGTGATCCACTTGCTGCCTTGTCCTCTTCCTGCTATGTCATGGCTTATCTTCTTTCACCCATTCATTCATTCATTCATTCGGCAGTATTAAGTCAATGTCTCTAGTATGCTTGGCACCTGCTAGATGGTCCCCAAGTTTACCATTAGTGGAAAAGACAGTTAAGAAATTCAGCAAGGGCTCTATGAGAGGGCATACACGGTGGACCTGACTAGGGTGTGGCTTCCCTGAGGAGCTGAAGTTGCCCAGAGGCCCAGAGAAGTGGAGCTGCGCACGTTTGAACCACTGAACCTGGTCTCGACCTCACCTCCTTCCCTTCGGTGCCTCCCAGCATCCTATCCTCTTTAAAGAGCAGGGATTCAGGGAAGTTCCCCGGATGGTGATTCGCAGGGGCAGCTCCCCTCTCACCTGCCGCAGTGACTGCCCCTCCCCATCTCAAACACACAAGCTAACGCGTGCAGGGACTGCAGCCCTTGGGGACGCGTGGCCCAAAGACTCAGGAGGTACAGGGGCTCAGTGCGTGCAGTGGAATCAACTCGGCTTCATCTCTGGAAGGGCAAGGGGCCATCTTCCGGGTTCACCACCGCATCCCCACTGCCGGCACAGCGCCTCCTGGCGACTATCATCGGTGACTTAGTGAAAGGACTAAGAAAGACCCGAAGCGAGGCCGGGACAGGCCGATTTCTAGCGGCCAGGTGGAGAACGGTTTGGAACAGTGCGCCGGGCTTAGCGGCGGTTGCTGGAGGAACGGGCAGAGTCGCCCAGGGTCCTGCCCTGCGGGGCGGAGCCGAGGCAGGCGGTGACGTCCCCACTGGAGGCGGAGCCGCAGCCTCGCGGGGTCGGGGCCTGGCGCAGGTGGTGGCGTCACAAAAGGCGGGGCCGCAGTAGTGTCCGAGAAGTCAGGCACGTAGCTCAGCTGCGGCCGCGGCGCGTGAGTTTGTGCTTCTGCGCGGGTGTCCGGGTTCTTCTGCCATCATGCCGATGTTCATCGTAAACACCAACGTGCCCCGCGCCTCCGTGCCGGACGGGTTCCTCTCCGAGCTCACCCAGCAGCTGGCGCAGGCCACCGGCAAGCCCCCCCAGGTTTGCCGGGAGGGGACAGGAAGAGGGGGTGCAGGCCGGACGAGGGGGTCCCGCGCTGGGAGCTGGGGAGGCGACTCCCGAACGGAGCTGGGGGGACGGAGCGGGGGGAGGACGGTGGCTCGGGCCCGAAGTGGACGCTTGGGGCTTGGCGAGGTCGCTGGGGCGGGCTGACCGCGCCCCTTCATGCAGTACATCGCGGTGCACGTGGTCCCGGACCAGCTCATGGCCTTCGGAGGCTCCAGCGAGCCTTGCGCGCTCTGCAGCCTGCACAGCATCGGCAAGATCGGCGGCGCGCAGAACCGCTCCTACAGCAAGCTGCTGTGCGGCCTGCTGGCCGAGCGCCTGCGCATCAGCCCGGACAGGTACGCGGAGGCGCGGAGGCGCGGGGGAGGGGCGGCGGCGCGCGGCCAGGCCGGTGACTGAGCCGCCCGCTGAGTCCAGCCTCCTCCCCGCGCAGGGTCTACATCAACTATTACGACATGAACGCGGCCAATGTGGGCTGGAACAACTCCACCTTCGCCTAAGAGCCGCCGGGCCCCACGCGGTCCGCGCTGGCTGGACCCGGGAACCCGCCGCACGCAGTGTTCTAGACTCGCCCACCCCAACCTTCTGGAGAAATAAAACGGTTTAGAGACCAGGAGTGCCTCGCTGTTCCTTGGCTTGCGGGAGGAATTGGTGCAGAGCCGGGACATTGGGGAGCGAGGCCAGGAACGGTGTTGGGGACGGGGGTCAGGGCGGGGTTGCTCCCCTCGGAGCCTGTTCGGGAGCCCTTTTGTCCAGTCTTTCCCTCCTACGCTCCCAACAGAGAAGCCCCAGTGTCTTTCCATTCTGTGGCCTATGAAGGGATGAGGAGAAGTTGGCACCCTGCCCTGGGCTGCAGACTGGGGATCTAAGGCGCTTTGCCCGCCCGAATCTGTTCTACCTAGGGCCACCACGTGGGGTGCTTGAGGTGAGCCCACTACGGAAGTGGGGGGGGAGGAGTTGGAGTTGAGAGTCCCAGGTCTTCTAGGCCTAGACCTTTCTCTCAGCCCCACCTCCCCCAGCCTTCTTGATGGGCAGAGGATAGCCAGAAGACAGAGAGATCCCACCCAGAGCCATTCACTGCTGTCTGCTTTGTTAAGTGACTTCAGTAGAGTTTTCAGGCGGGTGGGTGGGGGAGGTGCGGAGTTCTTGGTTATATCGCTCCGTCCACCCCTGAACCCTACGCCTGGGTTCTGCTCCCTTCAGCCACCCAAGCCCCCGCCACAACAGTTCCCTGAGGAAATTGGGCGTGGGGTTTCCACTGAGACCGTTCGTGTTCTGTGGTGCCACAGACATGTCTGTAAAGCCTTCAGTTATGTTTGGGCGCGGTGGCACACGCCTGTGATCCCGGCACTTTGGGAAGTCGAGGTGAGTGGAGTGTGACTCCTCTGCTTCTCTTAGTCTCCAGCCACGTCTCCTCCCCAGTCCCGTGTTCACTCGGTCATCCCGCCCAGCACCGGACAGCAAGATCTCCTTCCAGAAGAGCAGTGGGGCTGGGTGGGGTGAAGATTAGAAAGAGGAAGGAGAATAGAAGCTCCAGGGAGCCTGGAAGGGTGGCACCCATCTTGGGGTGGGGTACCCCTTCCATAAAGGTCTCTAAAGCAAGGCCCTCCTTAGCTTACTTCCTGCCAGCCGAGGTCCCCAGTGTCACTTCAGTCTCGTTAACTCAGTGAGAGGGCGGTGGAACCCCTTGTCTGCCTCCCGGGTGGGGGAGGCATGGGGGGCATGGCATGGCTCCAGCTGTAGCAGAAGGTCCCACTCCTCTCAGCCTGGCTTTCCGGCTGGAGGTTTCCTTCTTGGATCTGAGTACCTGCGGTGTAACAGGCAACCTCCTCGGCCCTGGCCTTTGTCACATCCCCTCAGCTCCTGGGTGCCCCCAGCTCCAGCCTCCCAAGGCCTGAGGCAGAGCTTTGCCCAGGACCCCAGTTCCCCCCACAACAAGCTCTTTCTGCCTCGGGCCCCACACCCCACCAAGCCCTGGCTGGCCCCCGGCCCCCACCCCACCTCAGCAGTCTTCTCTCTCAGCTGTGCCACGGATGGGGAGAGCAGGGCCGCAGGGCTCCATGAGCATCTAATTCAACTCCCTCATTTCACAGATGAGGACACTGACCCCAGGATCCAGGGCATGGCCGTACACTCAATGCCATGCCCCCTACAAGGGCCCTGGCACCTGCTGTGTGAGGGCAGGAGGGTTGATGGGAGAGTCGCCCTCCAAAAACAGGTGAGTGTCTGAGGTTCTGTGGCCCCCTGGGGGCATCTACAAGGTCATGGCTCCTTGGACTGCAGGAACAAAGTGAATGTCTATGGGTCGGGGACCTATCCACTCGCCCTGCTGAAAGTGTTCCTAAGTCCCCTGGGACTAACAACCAGCCTGCCTGCTGGGGAGGGCAGCTGCTACATCCTACCTTCAAGCCATACTTGCCCCCGTCGACCCCCATCCCATGGCCAGCTCCATTTCCTCCAAAGCACAGGCTCCACTGCCCGCCAGGTGGTGGGTCTCTTCCTCAAACCCCGGTTTGACTGCCCCAGAACCTGCAGGGTCAGCCTTGGAAATGCATTTCCAAGTAACACCACAAACCTCGAGGTACAGGACAGACAGGTGTGGGGCCATCATGCTGCCTGTTCTCCATCACTCTGGTGGTACCATGTCATCTGCTGAGAAAGACTCCTGGCCTACAGGGTGACCCTCACTTTCCTCAGGGCCCCTGTTTGCAACGGACAGACAGCCTGGCAGGCCTTGAACCTCATTTTGTAGGTTCAAGGCCTGTCCCCCATCTGTCCACTATAAGCCTCACACACACCATTCTTCCGGGATACCCTCCCTGAGGCCACCTGGTCAACGCCCACAGGCCCTTTTGCTTCAGCCCAGGTCCTGTTAGCCGAGATTTCCCTTTCTGGGTGTGTCTCCTGCACGTAGCTCCACCCAGTTCTGTCATCCGTTGAGCTTGTGGCCCCAGGGGCCCCCTTGGTACTTGTCCATTCTGGAGAGTCCAGCAATGTAGGCTTTTCCCAAGACTTCCCACCCTGCACGTCTCCCACCTCATCCCCTCCTGGAACAGCTTCGTTGCAGAGACTCCCTCCCCACCACCCCTCACTGCCAGCCTCCATTCAGACCCCACTCCCTTCTGGGAGCTCGATTCCAGCAAGATCAGGATCAAGCCCCCACTCTGCTCCTCCGGGCCTCAGTTTTCCCCATCTGTGAAATGAAGAGATTCATCAGAAGTCCTTCCCACATACTCAATCATGTAGGCATGACAGGGACATCTCACATCCTCAGAGGCACGATTAATCCAAGGAACGCCATGGGAGGGGAGGAGAGAGCAGGTGGCCTGTGCCTGCACTCAGGTCTTGATAAATTGTGAAATCTCTCCCTTACCCCTTCCTCAGAGGGCACTATTGTTCCTGATGTGCCAGCCTTGATGGCAGTGGATAGGGAGGCAGGGACAGAGACAATGTGGAAGTGTGGTCAGGTATCTACTTAGAAGTCTCCAGATGGAGCCGGGAAGTGCTAGGAGGCCAATGAGGCCAGTCTGTGGAGCAGTATCCTGCTGGGATGCAACTGAAATGCATTCACTGGGAACTGCTCCCCCACCAGCCCCACACTGAAGGGCTGGCTCTACCCCTCACAGGAACTGGCAGGGCAGGCAGTGAGACAACCCTACAGCCTCTAACGCAGTAGATAAGATTAATGCAGGGCCAACCCTCATATCAGAGTGGTTTTTCAGTTACCTGGACAAGTACTGAGGGAGGGGCCCCTGGGGCCACCAGCCCAAAGACCACAGAATTAGGTGGAGCTCTCTCTATGCAGGAGACACACACAGAGATCAGCTGATCCCTGGAACTTGGGATATTTCCAGGATTTTTGGGCCACTGACACTATGTTTCTATAAAGCCCTCTTTGGCCATCTCAGTTCCTTTCCAGGCTGAGCAGTGAAAGCCAAGTCTTAGCTCTCCAGGCCTGGGCCTCCCTGAGTAATTTCCAGGACAATGTGGGGGACAGTGTCAACCCACCAGCCAACTGCCCAGATTTCCCCTCCTGGTGAGTGAGGCCAAGCCACTTCATTTCTGTGTTTGAAGCCCATGTAAAAGAGACAGAGATTGTCCGTTTCAGAAACTGACTCTGTCCCTTCAGTCCTGGAACCTCAGGTGTCATCTGGTGACCATGGGGTCTCAACTCAACAGTTTAGCTCTCAAAACAGCCAGATAGAGCACTGAATTGAAAGGCTACAAATGAGAAGCTTCATCCCCCATGTCGTCCCCCCCGCCCCAGTGACTTGGCTTCTTGGGTACCTAGCTCTCTTCTCAGTTTAATAGGTAATAGATTTACATAGGTCAAATTCAAAGCATGCCAAGGGGCTCCAGAGAGAAGGCTCCCTCCTGTTGCCTTCCTCCACAGGGTAATCCTCTCTCAAATTCACCAGATCACTGCATCCAGACAAGGAGACACTGGATCTCTTGGTTATCATGGTTGCTTTCTTACCCCTCTCTAATTCCTTCCCAAACATAGCTACATCCCTTCCACTGTTATATAATCCTCCAATTTTAGTTGGTCAGGGAGATGGATTCAAGACTTATCTCCCATTCTCCTTGAGTGCAGCACCCGAATGAAGCCCTTCTTCCCGGCAGTGATTGGCTGTGCAGCAAGCAATGGGACCTAGATGAAACCCCTGGTGTTTCGGTAACACATTCAGACTGCGGAACAGATTAACCCCGGCTCTCTAGAATTTGTTTTCTGAAGAAGAAACAAACACAGCAATAATGTCTTATAAAAAGGCATGAGTAACCCTAAGCCTGTAAACCCCATCCATCTGTAGGGCACCCCATCTCACAGCAAAGCATGAGTGACAGCTATGTGCTGAGAAGAATCTGAAAAGTAGCCATGCTTCCAAGAATGTCTCCCTCATAACATGATGGGATGAGTCCTTAGTGAATTGCCAAACAAAACAAAAAACACAGTTGCTAAAAAAGAAGGTTCCTCCTTTAGAATCCTTGTACTATCATATCAAAATATTGAGAAGGAGCATCTCTTAATTGACAGTAAGGACGCTGATGACTATTAGTGAATAAAAAGCCAGAAGAAGACATGAAGGACAAGAACTTATACACATTTAACATTTCGGCCAGGTCAAGTAACTACAATAACCTATATACAAGACAAACAAGACAAAGTATATTTAGAATACATGCGATGAGTATTAATGCAGAAATGGACATTTCTCAGAATAAGATATGACTTTACAGATTACCATACAGAGAATATGATTTCATGCAGATGGAGAAGATGTGGGAGTTGTAGGGGAGCAATAGAAAATAAATTTCCTGGCTGGGTGCAGTAGCTCACGTCTGTAATCCCAGCACTTTGGGACGCCAAGGCCAGGAGTTCAAAGACCAGCCTGAGCAACATAGTGAGACCCTGGTCTATATAAAATATTTTTTAAAAAGTTTCCTGTACCTAGAAACAAATCCAAGATGTACTCTACAGAGAACCTCTACAGAGAAAAGTAACACCCTAAAGGTTATTGGGGAACTAAATAAATGAGACTGACCATGTCTCTGCGTTGGGAACAGGCCCCCCAAAATCGGCCATAAACTGGCCCCAAAACTGGCCATAAACAAAATCTCTGCAGCACACTGTGACATGTTCATGATGGTCATAATGCCCATGCTGGAAGGTTATGGGTTTACCGGAATGAGGGCAAGGAACACCTGGCCCACCCAGGGCAGAAAACTGCTTAAAGGCGTTCTTAAACCACAAACAATAGCATGCGCGATCTGTGCCTTAAGGACATGCTCCTGCTGCAGATAACTGGCCCAACCCATCCCTTTATTTCGGCCCATCCCTTCATTTCCCATAAGGGATACTTTTAGTTAATCCAATATCTATAGAAACAATGCTAATTAATGACTGGCTTGCTGTTAATAAATATGTGGGTAAATCTCTGTTCGGGGCTCTCAGCTCTGAAGGCTGTGAGACCCCTGATTTCCCACTTCACACCTCTGTTTCTCTGTGTGTGTGTCTTTAATTCCTGTAGTGGCCACTGGATTAGGGTCTCCCCTACCGACCGAGGTGGTCTTGGCATCTCTGTACTGGAGGCAATATTGTGCTGGTAACAGTTCTGTCTGGTTGATGATTCAGCACAGTCCCAATCGAAATTCCAACAGGTTTTTCTGTGGAAATTGACAACCTAATTCTAACATTTATATGAGACTCTAAATGACCAAGAAGAGTCAAAACATTTTCTTGAAGGAGGCAAGATGTGAGGACTTGCTTTCTCAATATCAAGACACATTATCAAGTTACACAATTAAGGCAAAGTGGAATCAGAACATAGCAGACAACAGACCAATGGAAAAAAGAGTAATCCAGAAACAGACCTCTCCACACACATGGACACAATATCATACTGGGGGAGCATTGAAATTCACGTGAAAAGAAGAACTCATTCAGCTAGGGGTGCTGGGCAGCTGGCTACCATGTAAGAAGAAAGATCAAACTGGACTCCTATTTAACTCCCACACAAAAGTCAATTCTACATAGATTAGAGCCATAAAGAAAAGGCCACAAAGATCTTAAAAGATGATGTAGAAGAATATCATCTTTATGATTTAAGTAAGATAAAATGAGTACATACAACAAGGAAAGATTGACACACTGATGTTAGTAAGACACCGTAAGAATAAAAGACATGGTACAGTTTCTGCAACTGGTCTTAATGCAAGTGAGCCCCCCAACTGGGGCTCAGCCTGAGAGCGTTCTTGGCTTTGCACAGGAAATAATTTGTGACCCAACAGAAAAAAGTGAAAGCAAAGCAGGTTTATTAGAGCACCAGAGTACAGAAAAGTGGGTTTCACAGAGCATCCATACAGATGGATGGGGTTTAGAGGGCTACCCCACAGGCAGAGCAGCATTCCTGGACTACCAGCTCTCTATATGTATAGCTACTTCTTAATTATATGTTAAATAAGGGGCAGGTTTTTCATGAATTTTCTAGAAAAGGGATCCGGAGTTCCTGGACCTGAGGGTTCCTCCCCCTTTTAAACCACATAAGATAACTTTTGGGTATTGCCATGGCATGTGTAAACTGTCATGCTGCTGGTGGGAATGTCTTTTAGCATGCATTATCACTAGCATATAATGAGCAGTGAGGGCAACCAGAGGTCACTTTTGTCGCCATCTTGGTTTCAGCTGATTTCTTCATTGCATCCTGTTCTGACCAGATTCTGTTTTGATCAGCGGGGTCATGACCAAGGTCTTGACCAGTGCTTGGAAAACAAGTTCTGCTGATCTCCTACCTCAACATTACATTATTAGGAAACCCTATTAAACAGTATGAGCAAAGGACTTTAGAAGCCACTTCACAAAACAGAATATCCAATGGAAAACTTGTTCATCCTCAGTAGAAATCAGGGAAATAAGAACCACTATGACACACCACTACCAACCCCATCGGCTGTAACTAACATGCCCACAATCCCACTCCTCGGTATATCTATCCTGGAGAAACTTGTATCTGGAAGCAACCCAATGTCCATCAAGCATTGAATAGATAAATTATGCTTGTTCATTCACGGAATTATTCAACAGCAGTGAAATGAACAAGCTATAGGTACGAATATCACCACAGACAAATCTCAAACACATTGAACAAAAGCCACAAGATGCATATAATGCAGTTCCATTTATATGAAGTTTGAAAACAAGAAGCCCCAAATTGTATTGTTCAGAGGATGATGTGTAGGTCGGAAAATTGTGAAGAAAGCCAGGAAAATGGTTTCTATCATGGTCAGGACAGCAGTCCCATCGACCAGGGGCATTTGGGAGGTGACGGGGTGCTGCAGTATTTTTCTGTTCTTACAAGTGTCTGTGTATATTTATTAAACCTTATGCATTTTTCCATATCTCATATTCCCTGATACAAAAGTTAACATGCACAGTAGAAGGGAGTGAACAGGAAGTGAAGAGCACCACCACCAGGTCGACGGTTGGGTACTGTGCCATGCAGAGGCACTGCCCAACTGCCCCATCCTTCTAAGACCTTGCCAGTCACTGGCCCATATGGAGGGCTGTTCCCACTTTGTTGGCCTCTTCCCCAGCCCACCTCCAGCCTCCCTGAGCTTCCCACCACTGTTTCTCCTGGGATTGGGGGCCTCATCCTCCTCACCTCCTTGTTTCCCCATGAGGTGCTTATGTCCCTAAACAAGCACCCCCTTAGCGCCCCCTGTCTAGCTCAGCCTTTCGGGGCCCTGCTTTGCCGTGTGCTCCCTGCCTTCTGGCAAGTGCTGTGACCCTCACAACTGTGGTGGAGGCCCCAGGATTGGAATGGGAAGAAAGGCGTGTTCTATTTAAGCCCCCTTAAATCCAGCAGAGGCTTTGAGCTTTGAGTCCTCAAGTAACCACATAAAAGTCTGAGGCTTTGGGATGCCTGGTGTGTGCACCAGGGCTTCACGGGGACCACGCTGGCTTCTGGCCTTGGCAGTTCCCCACAGTGCTTTGGAGCCATGAGCTGATCCTTATGGTCTTAGGGTTGGCTTTTAACTAGTGGCCCAGGCCGGAGGTCCCACCTTGCTGATATAAATAAGGTCCATGTGGGGGTATGACCTTGGCAACTCAGGACAGTGCTCTGGGGACGGTCACGGCTCAGAGCCATGTTCTCTGCCTACCGCACAGGCCTCCTATTAATCCAAACAGAGATGGTGCAGAGGAGGCTACAGAACCTCTGAGGCATGAATGGAGGAGGGCAGGCCCAGGCTTGCTGCCTTTCCTGTGCTCTCAGCCAGGTCTGAGGTCACCACTTCCAACTGCGAAGGCAGCAAGGGGCCGGTGCACCCTGGTATGACTCTTGTACCACCCACAGTGGAGTTGTGCCAGATGAGCTGCCCCCGAAGCCTCCTGCCAGAACAGGGACTGGGGAGGGTCCCTCCTGAACCCACAAAGCACATCCCTAGGCCTGCTGAGTTCGTCCCCTTGTGCGGCTCAGCTTTACTGTGGATTTGTGCCTTATGTACATTTTGTTTTTATTTGTTTTTTCTTTTTGGAGACAGGGTCTCACTCTGTTGCCCATGCTACAATGCAGTGGTGCAATCAAGCTCACAGTAACCTTGAACTCCTGGGCTTAAGTCATCTTCCCACCTCAGCTTCTTGAGTGACTGAGACTACAGTTTTGTACCACCATGCCCAGCTAATTATATTTTTATTTTTGTAGAGACGGGATCTCACTAGGTTCCCCAGGCTGGCCTCAAGTGATCCTCCCGCCTTGGCACCCCAGAATATTACAGGGATCACAGGTATGAGCCACCGTGCCCAGCTATTACATACATTTTGACCCAGGAGTTGGGAGAGTCATGGCTTTGCCCATAAAAAGGCAAGAGTTTTTTAATGGACAACAGCATTAAAGGGAATCAGAGCCCTTCAGAGAATATGCTGTTTTCTTGGGTTGAGATAGAGAAACAATGAAATCAATACACATCTAAAGTTAGCAAGGGCCATCCAAATGGCTTTTGTTGAGAACCGCCTGTCCCAGGGAATTGGGTTTACTTAGGAGATCCAGAAGGAACTGGAATAGTTTGAAACACACACCACAGTCTTACCCTTAGAAGGGGAGCAGTGGTGTCAGGAGGCAGGTTGGGCAGAGATGAGGGATCATGGGACCCTGGAGTGGGCCAGACCAACGTAGGGGACAGGAAAGCTCCCTGATGTGAGGGGAGGGCAGACGTTGGGAACAGACAGGGTCACCACCAGGGAACCAGGTGACCCAGAACACTCTTGAGGGGTGGCCATTCAATGCTGCAGACAGTGACTCTGTAAGAACCAGAAGCCATTCCATGAGCCAGGGCAGCCCTCAGAGGCTGTAGGAAATTTGGACAAATTAAAGGACAGAAGATCAGCATCAAACATTGAGAATATTTTGGGTACACTTGGGGAAAGCGCAGTTACTGTGGGTGGGTGCCTGGGGTTGCTCAGGTCCTAAGGGAATGCATTTTTTAAATGTAGGGATTAGGTGGCAAGGAGGGTTCAGTGGAGTCCTCCCTGAGGAGAGCACAGCCAGTCAGGAGAGAGGGGCTGACGGCAGGGAGGCTGATGGCCACGGCCGCCATCTCTTGGGTGCAGCCGTGGGACTGTTTCAACGGCAATTCTTGTGGCAAACCTGGGATTGCCTGGTTTTGCTTTCTGTTGCCAGGGGAGACCCCCAAGTGACAAAATCTAGAGGAATATGTCAGAAAAAGTAAATATATGGGCCGGAAAGCAAAGAGAAAGTAAAAGGAGGGAAGGCACTGGGGTTGAACACAAATGACTAGCCCTCTGTGTGAAGACGGCCAGCAGCCAGCACAACTACCAGGAGCCCAGCTGAGCCGTGCTGGGGATACGAGCCAGCAGTCGCGTGAGGAAGCACAGCTGTGGACATCTGTCCCTAGCTGCTGACAACTGTGCTGCAGAAACTGTGCTGCTTAGTTAGGGCTGGGAACATCCCCAGTGGAGGACAGCTAGTGTCCTGAGAGCCAGTGGGACATAACCACTGCTCCCTGGTGCTCAGCTCAGCAACCTGCCGGGCTGCGCTCCACTGACTGGGGCGGGATCTCTTAGGGCCGAAGACACCCATGCAATGGGCACACAGAGAGAAATGGAAATGATGAGATTTCACACATATGAAAAGGAAGGTGGTGTTATAAATAAGACCCAGGCAGGTGATGACTGCTTGTACACAGACGCTCAGGGAGGAGGACAGCAGAAGTTGCTTCCTGCTGCACCACAGCAGGGTCGCCAGGGCTAATGCTAACCCTCCACCTGGTCAGCTATGCCATGGGGTCTAGGGTTTGTCTTCCCTGTCTACTCTCTTTCCATCAGCTGCCAGGGCATTCCTGCTGGAGTACTAAGGTAGCAGGAAGAGAGGGCTACGTGGGGCTGGGTCCGGGATCCTGGAGACATCTCATGGCCTGCACGCTGCTCTAAGGACTTCCCTGTGGTTGGCGAGCAGGAAGCTGAGGCTATCACCACCCGCTCATTCCTAGTAACCCTGAGTCTTTTAAAACTGGAGCACATGGCAGGCCAGTGAAAATGCTGAGATGTGGAGAGAAGGATCTCACTTTCCAGGAGACACCCAGCCCTCCCGTGCCCACGGGCCACTTTGCTCACTGGGTAAGCATAGAGCCTTGGAGAGGAGGTTAACACCACTGGGCTCTAATGGGCCCCTGGGCTCTCTTTGAATGCTTTGGGCTTGAATCCTTTGACCTTAAGACTTTTTTTTTTTTCCCCTTTGGACTTTAACCTAAAAGGACAAGGGAACTTAATTTTTTGACTTGAATTTGACCCTAGGAAATTTATGAAAGACATTTCTAAGGTTGACTTTTTATCTAGGTATCTGGCATTTTATATATTTGCAGAACCTCTGACTCCAATTTGAACTTTGAGGTTGGACCTAATTTAGGATGGGAAAGTAGGAAGAGTAGTAAAATAATTTGTAGTCTGGGGTCCAAGCTACCCTTGGAATCAAATAGCATTGAATGATGACTCATTCCAAGTCCTAGGTGGGGGGAATCTATGCTGCCCCAGGTCTCCAGCGGGGAGTGGATAACACAGGGGCAACTGGGCTTAGCAAGTAGCAGCAATATCGCTGACCCCTGAGGTTCAGGAGCAGGGGGCAGTTTCAACTCAGCTCCCCGGGCCTTCCCTTGGGATTTGGCCACTTTGCCATGTGGGTATCCTGTGGTGCCCTCTAACCTGGAGTGAAGCAGAGCAGCCTGCCCAACTTGTGAAGGTCTCTCTCCACCAACCCAGACCCCTAGGAACTCCCAACTGGCTGCTGATATCAGACTTCCTGCCTCCTTCTGGGCCCTAAAGAAGTGGTGTCCTATGTGGTCCCCACCCCACTCTGGGACTCCTCCTTTTAATCCCCAATGCTACAGTCAGCCTCGGTATCACTCCCGATTTCCACAGGCCTGTCCCAGAACCCCTTACACCTATTTTTTCTTCTGGAAATGAGCCCTGAACTATCATTTTAAGTAATTTTTTTTAAAGACCCACTCTGTCCATATTGCAACAGGCAGAATATGTTCTGATAGTAGAGGCCATGGGGAGCGGGAGAGGGAAGAAGAGAGCTTACAACAGATATCACCCACTGTCCATGCTGTGAGCGTGCGGTCCCCTGCTGCTGGGGCCTCTGCAGGGAGTTGGTGAGCCTGATCCCTGGGCCTAGAGACTGAAGTAAGACTTTGGCTTTGCAGTCCCTTGCTGAGTCAGACCCCTTGTTGATCCCTGCCTGGTGGGCTCCCAAAGCCCCCCGTTGCAGCCCCTGCTGAGCATCCTCCTGCATGCAAGTTCCAACCTTGGGGTACCCTTCTCCTGGTACCCCCAGCCTCAGCTGGTTCTCTTCCCTGAAGGCGCTTGGAGGGGTAGGCTGGGCTACCCCAGCAGCGGGGATCTGGCTGCATCAGCAACTCAGTTTTCCAGGTGCAGGTTCTAGGGTACCCATACGTTGAGCTCAGTCCCTCTGACTCCCAAGCCAGGACTCTCTGACGGCACTGCTTCGGTCAGGGCGTGGGAGGTTGGCTCGGGCAGGACTCTTCCTCCTAAGGTAGGGTCAGTGTTGAGTAAAGGCCAGGGCCATTTCCCCAAACAGGCAAGGCAGGGCCCAGGCCTGGGTCCAGGGCCTCTGAGTCCACATCCCCACTTTGGCCAAATGGGTCATGAGCAGTTTCTGTGTAAGTGGCCTTTTACACTTTCCCAAGCAATTTCCCCCGATGTTACCTCATGTTATCCTCATGAGGACCACCCTGTGAGGTAGGAATTAGCAACCCTGCTTTAAAGGGGAAACTGAGATAAGGTATCAGGCTTTCCTGGCAGGGCCAGCCTCCGGCACGGCAACAGGGGGACAGTAAGGATGGCCTGATCTGGGTGCCCCTCCACACTGCCCTCCCTTCCAAGCTACAGTCTTTTATTCCAATTCTTCTACTCTTTTTCTCTCGTTTCCCCTCCCCTACTGCCACGTTTTTTATGCTTGTGGACGTCTTATGTAAGAGTGTTCAATAGCTCCTCCCAACAGTCTTAGAAGGCAGTGTAAAGGTGACCAGACGCGGAACCCCGAGAGTTCATTCAGGGTTCCCAAAGGCATGTATAGGATCCAACGTGTTTTTTCTGCCTCCCACTCTGCCCCCTTTCAAGAAGTGCACCTGTGGTTCAAAGTTCAGCTTTGACTGCCCAGGCATGTGCGGCATAGGACAGGGCAGGCTACAGCCCTGCTAAGGGCCAGAGAATCTCATCCCGCCCAGAGGAGGGTTCTTTTAGGGGGTGGGTACAAATCTCAGAACCTCCCCACTGTATGTGTTGAGAGTGGGGTGAGGTGGGACATGTTGGGGGGAAGAGCAAGCTGCAACGGGTGCAGCTGCAATTATTCAGAGCAGAGGTGGCTTCACAGACAACATGAAGCTTACCCCTCAGGGGTCCTCTTTGCCTTGGGAGGAGCCCTATCAATGCTTTTGTCATGTGCTTTTGGAAAATATGTAGAAGACATTTTTACAAGTTGGTTGAGGCCCACTCTCTCTTTTCAGTTCATATTCTCCCTCATGCATCTGTCCTGTTGGAATGACTGTGGCTATTTTGGATATGGCTAAGGGAGAAGGTAAAATTGGGGATCGTTTTGTGTGTGTTTAAGTGGGATGGATTTCTGGGCTTTGAAGTCACTTCTGTATCTACTAAAAATTGCTATAGTTATCTTTGTGCATAAATTACTTCCGGCTGACGCAGGTGAACCCCCATATAGGGACTCAGCCCGGAGGGTTTTTGGCTTTGCTCA